TTAGTGGAAAGGGGCGGGGCTTCGGCGCTGCCTTGGCGCGGTTGTGTGCGGCTCCTGGAGCGGCTAGGCATGGCGAGCCTGGTCCCTCTCCCCTTGGCCCCTTGGCCCCAGGTGAGTGCGCCTCCTTTTCCCGTCCCAGGGGTTTTTCCCCTTTCTGGACTACAAATCCCATCACCCTCCTGCAGGAGGATGGGTCATGCAGTCCAGGCAAGCCCCCTCTTGGCTTGATTGGTTTGAAAGCGACTTCAAGGTGATTGAAAAGTCTTGAAATGGTCTTTTGTCCCCTTCTCGAGCATCTACACTGTGGAATTAACGCGGTTTAGTACCGCGTTCGGCTCGATTCCACCTCCAAACTGCAGGAGGGGCTGCCATTGGCTATAGACCTGAATGCAGTTTAGTGGGACTTTTCACTGCCTATAGAAGAGTCCTACAGACTCCTGGGAGTTGTAGTTCGACAAGGTCTGGAGCCTCCCCAAACTTACATCTGGCATCATTCATAATGTATAAGAGAATAGTGGAATGTATAGTAGATAAATGGGAGGAATCCATCTCTTTTTATGGTAACCCCTCTCTCTCCCTTTCTAGTTTTTTGCAGTGATCCACTGGATCCAAGCCATCACCGCTTCCTTAAGGTACTGTATCACAAGCCAATTTCTTTCCTTTTGGGCTTTGGGGCTGCCGGTGGCAGGCTTGCTTCAAGGTACATAATAATGAGGGGGAAAACCCAAGGAGGGCCTCCTGGCAGTGATTTTTCTCCCCTCCTCTGTTTTGGGGCATGCAAAGACCTACACCTCCTGCTGGGATCCTCCCATAGATGAGCTGCATTGATCTGCTGCTTTTCACAGACCCAACTCCAGGTGATCTGCACCCAGTTTATCCACACAACAACTTCCAGACAAAGAGATTCCAAATTAATACTTCTTCTTCTTCTGTGATTCTCCTTCTCCTTTCCTCCTTCTTTTCCTTCTCCTCCTCCTTCTCTTCTTCCAGACAAATCTATTTCAAATTAAGGCTTCATCTTCTTTGATTCTCTTTCTCCTTCTCTTTCTTCTCTTCCTTCTTATCCTCCTTCTTTTTCTCTTTCTCCTCCTTTCCTTCTTCTTCTTCTCCTTCTTCTTCCAGACAAATATATTCCAAATTAATACTACTTTTTTATTCTCCTTTCCTCTTTCTCTTCCTTCTTATTCTCCTTCTCCTTTTTCTCTTTCTTCTCCTTCTCCTTTCCTTCTTCTCTTTCTTCTTCCAGACAAATATATTCCAAATTAATACTACTTCTTCTGATTCTCCTTTCCTCCTCCTCTTCCTCCTTCTTCTTTTTCTCTTTCTTCTCCTTCTCCTATCCTTCTTCTCCTTCTTCTTCCAGACAAATGTATTCCAAATTAATACTTCTTCTTCTGATTCCCTTTCACCTTTTCTCTTCTTGTTGTTCTTCTTCTTTTTCTCCTCCTTTCCTCTTCCTCCTCCTCCTTTTTCCTCTTTCTCCTCCTTCTTTCCTCCTCCTCCTCCTTCTCTTCTTCTTCCAGACAAATATACTCCAAATGAATACTTCTTCTGATTCTCCTTTTCCTTTCCTCCTCCTTCTTCTCTTTCTTCTCTTTCTCCTTTTGTTCTTCTTCTTCTTCTTCCAGACAAATATATTCCAAATTAATATTTCTTCTTCTGATTCCCTTTCTCCTTTCCTCCTCCTCCTCCTCCTCTTCTTCTTTGTCTCTTTCTCCTTCTCCTTCCCTCTTCCTCCTTCTTTTTCCTCTTTCTCTTCCACCTTTCCTCCTCCTCCTCCTCTTCTTCCAGACAAATATACTCCAAATGAATACTTCTTGTTCTTCAGATTCTCTTTCTCCTTTCCTCCTCCTCTTTTTTCTCTTTCTCCTTCTTCTTCCAGACAAACATATTCCAAATTAATACTTCTCCTTCTTTTGAATATCTTTCTCCTTCTCATTTGCTTCTCCTCTTCCTTATTCTTCTCCTTCTCTTTCTCCTTTCATCCTCCTCCTCCTCCTCCTTCTTCTTCCAGACAAATATATTCTAAATGAATACTTCTTCTTGTTCTTCTGATTCTTTTTCTCCTTTCCTCCTCCTCTTGCTTTTTTCTCTTTCATCTTCTCCTTTATTCCTCCTCCTCCTCCTCCTCCATTTCTTCTTCCAGATATATTCCAAATTAGTACTTCTTGTTCTTCCGATTCTCTTTCTCCTTTGCTCCTCCTCTTCCTTCTTTTTCTCTTTCTCCTTCTCCTTTTCTCCTCCTCCTCCTCCTACTTCTCCTCCTCCTTCTATTTATTGTTATTCCGTAATGTTAATATAATTAATGTAACCATTTGGACTAAAGTGGACATTCTTAGAAACTTATAATTAATTAATCACCTCAGTCTTCCCCCAACCTCCATTTTTTATTTAAATTGATTTCATTGATTTAAATGTATTTATTTATTTATTTCCTTTACTTCTATACCGCTGTTCTCAGCCCGAAGGCGACTCACAGCGGTTCACAAGGCACAAAACACAGCAAAATTCAACATCAATATAAAACAGTTAATAACCTAATCCAATACACAATTAATACATAATTACTATAGTAACCATTCCTTAACATCTCATCATTAAAAACATGATCCAGGTTCGTCGTCCATTGTTCCATTCTTGTGTCGTTACCAGTCTTTGCACCAATCATTCGAATGCCTGCGCAAATAACCAGGTCTTTACTCTTTTGCGGAAAACCATCAGAGATGGTGCCAATCTGATGTCTGTGGGAAGGGCGTTCCACAGCCGGGGAGCCACCACCAAGAAGGCCCTGTCTCTCGTCCCCGCCAGCCGTGCTTGTGAGGCTGGCGGGATCGAGAGCAGGGCCTCCCCGGAAGATCTCAAAGTCCTGGTGGGTTCATAGGCCGAGATGCGGTCGGATAGGTATCTTGGGCTGGAACCATTTAGGGCTTTAAAGGTGAATGCCAGCATTTTGAATTGAGCCTGGTAGCAAATCAGTAGCCAGTGGAGTTGGCGCAACAGGGGGGTTGTATGCTCCCTGCGTCCCGCTCCTGTTAGAATCATGGCTGCCGAACGTTGGACTAGTTGAAGCTTCCACAATTGGTTCTTATGTTGGGTCTTACTGTCTTCCACAATATTCTTAGTCTAACAAAACACCCACCAATGTAAAAATATTAATCTATTTTTATTTTGCTTTTTGATTCTGTCGGTTCGTTTCTCCCAACCCCTTTAGGATGGCAGTTTAGGAATTTGTAACAGTATATCTATTAATGAGGGCAGAAGGGTCCTGCAATCAATTCCTCCCTCCTTTGCAACAGATCCCTCTTCCAGCTGGAAACACACACTTCCTTGCCTGGCAATGGGTATTTCCCCAAAGAGGTGTTTTCCTCCTGCTGTTTGATGTGTTTCGGGGAGGCAAAGCTTACAGATAGAGGCAGAAATGCAGGCCTTTCCTTGGTGCCGCCAACTTTTTTCCATGCCATGCTCCTGTGCTTTATAAACATTGGCTGGGCATTTTCCAATGGATGTGGACAAGATCCTTGGAGAGGTGAGGGGTGACCACATGCATCCTGGACCCCTGCCCATCCTGGCTGATAAAGAAGAGGGGGTTTGGCAGAGTGGGTGAAGGTGGTGGTTAATGCCTCCTTATGGGAAGGCAAGATTCCAGCAGGACTAAAGAAGGCCGTCATAAAACCGCTGTTGAAAAAAACCATCACTGAACCCCACTCAATTGAATGGCTTTCTGCCAGTTTCCAATTTCCCCTTTTTTGGAAAAGTCTTGGAACATGTGGTGGCCTCGTAACTCCAGGTGTTCTTGGGATTATGTGGATCCATCTCAGTCTGGATTTAGGCAGGGTCACAGAACTGAGACAGCCTTGGTCCCCTTAGTGGATGATCTGTGTAGGGAACTGGACAGGGGGAGTTTGTCCTTGTTGGTTCTCTTGGACATCTCAGTGGCCTTCGATACTGTAGACCACAGTATCCTTCTGGGATGCCTCACGTGAATGGGGCTTGGAGGTACCATCCTACAGTGACTCCGGTCCTTCTTGGAGAGGCGTTTCAGGCGACACCTATTTGGCCCCTCAGCCTTTTTTTATGGGGTCCCACAGGACTCAGTACTGTCCCCCATGTTGTTTAATATCTACAAGAAGTCACTGGGAGAGATCATCCAGAGCTTTGTAGTTCGATGCCATCTGTATGCAGATGATGTACAACTCTGCTACCCCTTTCCACCTTCTTCAAATGAGGCTGTTCAGGTCCTGAACAGGTGCCTGGCAGCTGTGACGGTCTAGATGAGGTTGAACAAATTGAAATTGAATCCAGACAAGACAGAGGTACTCCTGGTCAGTCACAAGGCCAAACAGGGTATAGGGTTACAGCCTGTGCTGGATGGGGTTACACTCACCCTGAAGACTCAGGTTCATAGCTTGGGAGTTCTGGATTCATCGCTGAGCCTGAAACCTCAAGTCTTGTCAGTGGCCAGGGAAACATTCACATAATTAAAACTTGTGCGCCAGTTGTGCTTGTACCTTGAGAAGCTAGACTTGGCTGTGGTGGTCCACACTGTTGTTGATATCGAGCAAGAATTTGGGGATCTTCACCAAAGAGAGCGTGTTAGCCCTGGCGAGATAGAAAAGAAGCACCCAAGATTTTCTCTGATTTTTCCCAATAAAAGGTCTCACCAAGTTGAAGAAAAGCCACCGAGTTGTCTTTATTTCATCCCAGCTGGTACAGATATCAAACCGCAATCCCTTGCCAAAATCAACATGTTTGGCAGGGCAAAAAGGAGTACATTTTATAGGAAATACAGAACTGTCAAATTCAAACTTCCCACCTCCTTGCCGGCTTCGCGCTGATTGGCTGGAGTCATCAGCTGAAGGGAGGCATGGCTGGCTTAGGCACGCCTCGGCCTATGGGGAAGCCAGCTTCTGAGCCAATGAGGAGTGAGGAGGCGGTACAAGTGGGAAACAAAGAACCGAGAGAAAAATGAGTGGATTAAATGTAACCTAATGGTTTGTCCGATGGCCAGCGATAATCTGGAGATTCCTCAAGCTGGCCTGGTATTGTCTTATGAGGGTGAAATATACAAAAGTGGCTAGCACGGCTGCCAAGCCTTGGTAATCTTCAGTCCTGGATATGGGATCAATTGATGTTATCTGTCCATTGGTTTCAACCAAGGGGAGGAAGACAATGAGTGAGGTGGATGGGGCACCCTGATCTTTCCCGAAGGCAGGATATCCCATTGTTGATGAATGATTGAGTCACCATGGGGTGCTCTCCTCGGGCGGCCATGCTCCGAGGGGCACCATTGTTACTGTCATGCAATAAGTCTTTGTTGAGTTCTTTGGTCAATGGGGAATTCATCTCAGGAAATAGGAAGAAATTTCCCAAGAGTTTGTCATGCTGGGGTCATGAAAAGGTGGCATTCCATATTTTATACACACACATATATAGGGTTCATAAGGCATAAATTGGGGGGAAAAGGGGGAAGAAATTCATATCAGCTCACCCCACCCACTAGAGTCCATAAAGAGTCCAAAGCTATGAAATCATAAAATCCTAAAATTTGTGGGGACGAGAGACGGAGCCTTCTCAGTGGTGGCACCTCAACTGTGGCGCTCGACTGTGATATCAGACTGGCCCCCTCCTTCCTGGTTTTCAGGAAAAAAGTGAAGACCTGGCTATGGGATCAAGCATTTGGATAGTGCAATATAGAACTAGCATAACTGTAGCAACACAAATAATGACTTCTGGAATAGGTTTAATGGTTTTAACAGTTCTACAGTATTTATCTGTTTTTATCTGTGCCACCAGGATCACCTGGTGGCACAGTGGGTTAAGCTGCTGCTGAACTTGCTGACCGAAAGGTTGGTGGTTCAAATTTGGGGAGTGTGGTGAGCTTCTGCTGTTAGCCCCAGCTTCTGCCAGCCTAGCAGTTTGAAAACATGCAAATGTGAGTAGATCAATAGGTGGGAAGGTAACAGTGCTCCATGCAGGAAGGTAACAGTGCGGGAAGGTAACAGTGCTCCATGCAGTCATGCCGGCCACATGACCTTGGAGGCATCTACGGATAATGCCAGCTCTTCAGCTTAGAAATGGAGATGAGCACCAATCCCCAGAGTCGGACATGACTAGACTTAATGTCAGGGGGAAACCTTTACCTTTACCTTATCTGTATTTATGTAAATGATGCATCGTATTTTATTTGACTGTATATGTGGCATTGAATATTGCCATGTTGTAAATCACTCTGAGTCCCCCTCAGGGTGAGAGAGAGCGGGATAGAAATATTGCAAATAAATAAATAAGTATGTCAGTGGGAGCGTTCCATGATATGATATTGCTCCTCCAATTCCAGCAATTGCAATTGGGGGGAGAAGCTCACTTTTGCAAACGCCACCTTTTCCTGTGCTGGCAAGCAAGCTCTGAAGCACCTTCCTTATGGAAAGGAGCATGGTGCCAACATTCCCGCCTTTTGGGCACCGGGTCAAGATATTTGTTTCTCCAGGCTTTGCAAATTGTCGAACCTGCCTTTGCTTGTTGTGTAATGTGCCTCTCCATTTTATTCTGGTCGTGACCAATGATTTCAATGCCTTGACAGATAAATTAAAAAGTATGCAGAAGAGCTTTCCTATGGGAAACTGTAAAAGGCTTAAGGGGGACACAATGGACCTCTGGGAGACTGTTGTCCCGCATCTCTCCATGCCATTCCTGCTTCATTTTAGCACTCTGCTCTTTGATAGCAAATGAGCCCTCTGGAAATTAAAGTTGGCCACCTGCAGCCCAACTAAACTATCCTTTCCTTTCCGCAGTGTCATCGGGTCCAGCTTTATGATTGGCTATGCCATCTTCCAGAACACAGCCCGGTCCCCCGAGGTAAGGCCATTTATTGTGCCCCCCCCCCCCCCAGAAAAAAGAAAGCTCAACTGCACTTTTATGAAATGCAGTCTGATGGGAGGAGCTGCGGTCGCCTCTGGGAATGCCGAATATTGTCAAGCACATTCTCTCCTTGTGGCTAAAACAAATATTTAACTCCAGAGGCTTGGAGGAGGTGAATCATCGCCTTGGTTGGCTTTCCTTTTGGCTGGCCGGGCCCTCGACCTTTCCGGTGGGGCACTCATCAGCTATGCAAGAGTGGAGCTGCAAGACAGAGTCCTTTGCAGAAGCTCAACTGCTTGCTGTTCAATACCCCATAATCAATTTCTTTTTATTGAACTTGAGGCAGAGCAAGCAGATCATAGTGAACCAATGCAAAGTTGTGACATACCATTGAATTGTAGAGTTGGAAGAGACCCTCAAAGGCCATCTAGGCCAGTTCCATTCTGCCACAAAGAAAGGCACAGTCCAAGTTCTCTCAACAGATGACCATCCAGCCTCTGCTTAAAAACCTTAATAATAGTGATGATAGAGAATAAGACTCTATCATCACTATTATTATTTTTCTTTTTAATGTTTTTTTATTATTATACTAGCTTGGGTCCCCGGCATTGCCCAGGTTATTAGAAGAAGTCATTTGTTTATTTTACAAAATGCATAAGGTTGTGGGTGAACTACAACTCACATAATGTCAGATGTGAAACTCCATCAATACTAGTTTGTCGTGTTGAGCAAGTTTGGTCTAGATGCATCATTGGTGGGGTTCAGTATGCTCTCCAGCTGCAGGATAAATTACAACTACCTTCATTATTTTTAATGACCTTTTCCAATTCGAAGTTTAGATTATCCTTTATGACTATGGCCACAGGATGAATTACAACTCCCACCGTGGTGGGTCAGTCCCATCAAATTCCTCAGTACATTCAGTTGTTCATGGGGGTTCTGTGTTCCAAGTCAGGTTGTGGTCCATCATCGGTGGGTTTCGGAGTGCTCTTTGATATAAATCACAGTGCCTACAACAAACAGATGTCAAGGCCAATTCTAACCCAAACCCACCAGTATTCAAATTTTGGCATATCGGGTATGCCTGCCAAATTTGGTGCAGATCCATCGTTGTTTGTGTTCACAGTGCTCTCTGGATGTAGGTGAATCACAACTCCTATAAATCCCTCCAACGATCTCCAGTATGTTTCGTTGGTCATGAGGGTTAGTTCCAGGCCCATCGTTGGTGGGGTTCAGAGTGCTCCTTGATTGCAGGTGAACTATCCATCCCAGTACCTACAACTCCTATATATTAAGGTGAATTCCTCCCAAACCTCTCCAATATTTTTTGTTGGTCATGGGCGTTCTGTTTGCCAAAGTTGTCCAGGTACTTTGTCAGTGGGGGTCACAGTTCTCTGTCTTGATGCAGGGCAAACTAGGACTTCCATCATGTTGAGTCAGTTCGCCCAAACCCCTCCAGTATTTTCAGTTGCTGCTCAATTCCTCTCTGTTTGCTGTGCACCATAGGAAAGGGTAGGATAGGGTTAAGGGAGAGGCAATGTGTGGGGTCATGCAAATAACACACCAATGGAGAGAGTCAGAAACACTGGGATGTATAGGAAACCCATACAATCTATGTTGAAATTGTCCCCGTATGAAAGCCTTCACTTGGGTGGTGGGCAGTATGGTGTTTGGGGAGGACATTGGCAGGGGCTGGGAGACATGTTCATGGCGCTTGCTCTAACCTGAAATGTCCTTGGAGGGAGGGCTTTTTGTAGTTCCTCAGCACTGAGGCTTAAAGCTGTTTGCGGAAGCGGGAGGCTGTCTTTGTAAGTGGACACCTCCACACATACACATTTTATTATATGTATAGATGTATATATAGCTAGAAGATATAGATAGATAGATAGATAGATAGATAGATAGATAGATAGATAGATAGATAGATAGATAGATAAAATGAGTAAGTACAATTGTGATACATTTATAATACAATAGACATATAAGTTCTTGCGGGTTTTTTCGGGCTATAGGGCCATGTTCTAGAGGCATTTCTCCTGACGTTTCGCCTGCATCTATGGCAAGCATCCTCAGAGGTAGTGAGGTCTGTTGGAATTAGGACAATGGGCTTATATATCTGTGGAATGGCTGGGGTGGGGCAAAGAGCTCTTCTCTGCAAGAGCTGGGTGTGAATGTTTCAACTGACCACCTTCATTAGCATTTGAAGGCCTGGCTGAGCCTAGGAAAATCCCCTACTATACATTCCACTCTTGTTTATAGTCTATCATTCATCTTTGTGCCCTCCTCTCTCCCCCTGAGTCACGTGAACAACCTCTTCTCTGGGCTGATTTTGCTGGCAGGGGTTGAATTAAATGTTCCTTGGAGCTCCTTAGTAGTAACGAAAACAGGAATCTTATAAAAGCTGCTTTCCGGTGGAGAGTGAAGCAGCTACCAGCCCACTCCATTGTAGCCAATGGCACCTTGCAATCTAGAAAACGGCCTTTTGCTCAAATGACTCCTCACCTGATTTGCTCTATTCACAGGGCCGCCCCCTCTTCTACCTGAGTCTCTCGGATCTCTTGCTGGCGGTCTGCTGGCTTGCTGGGGCCCTCCTTTATAGCCAAGAAGCTACGGAGCCGAACCACTGGGAAGCCGCGTGCTACAACCTGCAAACTACAGGACAGGTGAGATGAGAGGGCCATCTTTGCTTTGGGCAGCATGGGAAAGGTCTTCGGGGCCCAGAATGATGGTCACCAGGTCATCCTCCAGGTCACTTGAATGGAGCCCCCTTTGCCCAGTCTGGTGGGCCAGGGTAGTATTGGCCTAGACTCTGTAGATCAGGGCTATGGAGACCCATTGAGATTTTGAGTTTTGAACTCCTGGGTTATAAACACAATAGTTTAAAAGTCTTAATATGAATATGCTGTCTGAAGGATTCTGCAGATTGTAGTCCAAAGACGTCCCTTTCCCAAACCAGGTTTATTTTGAAAACCAACCTCTTGCTCCATGACTTTTACTATGTTCAGTGGACTTCTCCTCTTTTTCTCCTCCTTCTCCTTATTCCTCTTCTTTTTCTTTTCCTCCTCTTCCTTCTTCTCATTCCTCCTCCTCTTCTTCTCCTTCTCCTCTTTTGCCTTATTCCTCCTTCTCTTCTTCTCCTTCTCCTTCTGCTCCTCCTTATCCCTCCTCCTTATCCCCCTCTTCTTCTCATCTTCCTCCTTATCCTCCTCCTTCTCTTCTTCCCCCTCACCTCATCCTCCTCCTCCTTATTCATCCTCTCCTCCTCCTCTTCCTCCTCCTTCTCCTTATTCCTTCTCTTATTCTCCTTATTTTCCTCCTTATTCAGCCTCTTCTCCTCTTCCTCCTTATCCTACTCCTTCTCCTTATTCCTCCTCTCCTCCTCCTCCTCCTCCTATTCCTCCTCCTCCTTATTCATCCTCTCCTCCTCCTCTTCTTTTCCTTCTCTTCCTCCTCCTCATTCTCCTTATTCCTCCTTCTCCTGATTCATCCTCTCCTCCTCTTCTTCTTCTTTTCCCTTTCCTCTTCCTCCTTCTCATTCTCCTTATTCCTCCTCCCCCTCCTCTTCCCTTTCTTATCTTTATTCCTCCTCCCCTCCCCCTCTCCTCCCCCTCCTCATACTCCTCATTATCCTTACTTCTCTTCTCCTCCTCTTCCTCCTACTTCTTATGCTTATTTCTCTTCTTATTCTCCTACTCTTCTTCTTCCTTCTCATTACTCCTCTCCTTCTACTCCTTTTCCTTGTTCCCCCTCCTTCTCTCCTTCTCCTCCTTCTCCTTATTCCTCCACTCTTCCTCTTCTCCCTTATCTTTATTCCTCTAATTTTTCTTTTCCTCCTTTTCTCTTCTTATTCTTCCTCCTCCTCTTCCTCCTCTTCCTTCTCATTCCTCCTCCTCTCCTCCTCCACTCCTCCTCTTCTTCTTCCTCCTCCTCCTCATATCCCTCTTTATCATGTTGTACTCCACCTTGAGCTGCGAGAAGAGGAGGAAAATCATCATCATCACCCTCTCTAAAGAAGGGACTCGAAGTGGCTCACCAATATAATATAATTTCAAACCTAAAAGTATACAAAGATTGCAATGGATACAAACAGTCTTAAAAATAAACAGTTTAAGCCCATTCAAAACCTATCGATCTAGCCAGAACCGCTGCCTCCCCCTGACTTCATCTTTAAAAACATCCGTCTTCAAGCACTGCTGTACAAATCAGCATCATATATTGACCTGAGTACAAAATATCATATAGTTGGAAGAAAGACTCAAACCAGTTACATAATTACAAGAAATATTTGAAGATGGGTTCTATCATCCATTATAGAGCAATTAGAAGTCCCTTTAGGGCAGTGGTTCTCAACCTGGGGTCCCCAGATGTTTTTGGCCTACAACTCCCAGAAATCCCAGCCAGTTTACCAGCTGTTAGGATTTCTGGGAGTTGAAGGCCAAAAACATCTGGGGACCCCAGGTTGAGAACCACTGCTTTAGGGGGAAGGGGGACTACATTGGAGGCCGGCTCTCTAAAGCTTACCGCTGTAGTCCGTGTGTCATCCATCATGCCAGGAAAACTCATCTTCCTGTTTGGATGAGTTCAATTTTTCCATGGCAGCAAAGTCAGCTTGAGAGCACATCTGGCCTCCCTGAAAGGCTTCCTTGGGGCTGTTTGGAAGAGAGCTTTGGGCTTTCTTTGCAGGCAGTTTGATGGTCTGGTTAAGAGGGGAATTGGGCATCTCTCATAGTAATAGTAATAGTTGTAATAATAATAATAATATGGTGATGATGATGATAATGATGATGATGATAGAACTGCAAAGACTCTGGCACAAGCCAGTAAAGGTGGTCCCAGTGGTGAGAGCACACTGGGTGCAGTGTCTAAAGAACTTGGCCTGCACTTAAAAACAATCTGCATTGACAAAATTACCATCTCTCAGCTGCAAAAGACCACCCTACTTGGATCTGCACGCATTATTTGCTGATACATCACATCAGTCCTAGACACTTGGGAAGGGTCCAACGTGTGATCAAAAACAAAAGCTAGGATAGTGATCTTGTTTGCTGTGTACCAATCTTGTTTAGGAGCTCCTGTTGGCGCAGTGGGTTAAACCCTTGTGCCGGCAGGACTGCTGACCGAAAGGTCAGTTGTTCATATCTAGGGAGAGTGGGTTGCGCTCCCTCTGTCAGCTCCAGCTCCCCATGCAGCGACATGAGAGAAGCATCCTACAAGGATGGTAAAAGTCAAACATCCAGGCGTCCCCTGGGCAATGTCCTTGCAGACAGCCAAATCTCTCACACCAGAAGTGACTTGCAGTTTCTCAAGTTGCACCTGACATGAAAAAAAATTCTTGTTATTATCAAATAATGATGATGATGATGATGATAATAATAATAATAATAATAATAATAATTGACCATAGGGTCATGCTGGAGGCACAAGCTTTGTTTCATGCACAGAGTTATTTAAAATATTTTGGAGCATGTTTGCACCATCAATGTTTAACATTTACACAAATGATCAGCCACTGCCAGAAAGGACAGAAAGTTTAATCTATGGTGACGATTGTGCCATCACCGCTCAAGCAGAGAACTTTGAAATGGTTGAACAGAAGCTCTCCGAAGCTTTTGGTGCTCTTACTGTGTATTACAGAGAAAAACAGCTTATTCCTATTCTGTCTAAAATGCAGACATATGCTTTTCATCTTAAGAACAGACAAACATCTCAAGTTCTGAATCCCACTGGAGCATTGCAGCACACCAAAATACCCGTAAGTTACTCTGGACCGTGCTCTGACTTACAAGAAGCACTGCTTGTATATCAAGCAAAAAGTGGGTGCTAGAAATAATATCATATAAAACTGAATGGCCACAATCTGGGGATTACAACCAGACACCGTGAAGACATTTGCCCTTGTTCTTTGTTACTCTGCTTCTGAGTATGCATGCCCATTGCGGAATACATCTCACGTTAAAACAGTGGATGTGGCTCTTAATGAGATATGCCACATTATCACAGGATGTCTACACCCTACACCACTGGAGAACTTATACTGTTCATCTGGTATTGAACCACCTGACATCCATCGGGAAGTAGCAGCCAGTAACGAAAGGACATCTCCGGCCCATCCTCTGTTTGGATATCAGCCAGCATGCCAATGTCTTAAATCAAGAAACAGCTTCCTAAAATCTACAGAGATACTCACAGGAACACCTCAGCAAGCAAGAGTCCAAAAGTGGCAGGTTAAAACCAGAACCTCAATCAGTGGCTGAGACCAGATGAGTGAAGATGGGGGGATTTGGAAGGCGCTGAACAGACTGTGCTCTTAAGAAATGGGTCTGTGGACATATGAGTATGGAGCAAACCACAGACCACTGACTACAGTTCAGTCTGAGCCCCGCTACATGCACAATGGAGGAACTTCTTACAGCAACACCAGAGACACTCCAAGTGGTCAGTTTCTGGTCAAAGGATATTTAATATAATGCCAAGTTTTTAACTTTGTGGTTTTTCTATACATTATAACTGTGTTCTCAATTTGTTTCTGACACAATAAACAAATAAATATTATTATGTTTATTGTGTATCTTGGTGTATGTCTTTCATCTCTTGTTTTAATGATATTGCATCCCACTTCAAGCTGCAAGGAGAGGCAAGAAACACATGTATTGCAATTGGCAAGGAGGTAGATAGCATTCTAGGTGCATTGGCTGAGCCAAGGGAGCCCACTGGGTCTTCTACACCGCAGAATTGATGCAGTTTGGTGCCTTGTCAAACTCCAACTCCCAGGATTCCATAGCTTGGAGCCATGGTCGTTCAAGCGGTGTCCAGCTGCGTTTGTTTGACCGTGCAAGTGCTCCCCATGTTTGACATAACCTGAAAGTCTTTTTATGCAACAAAGGTGGCAAACGCCACAAATTGAAGTGCCATCTCTCTCAAAGTTGGGGATCTGGGAATGGAGGGGACATTTTGGGGGGGGCAGATTTTGAGGAGCAGAATCTCCCCTCCAACAGCAACACCGCAGAGTTCATGGACTCCCTGCTCCATCCCAAGGCAGCCCTTTGTGTCGTTCACCTCCTCTTCCCTCAATTAAGCCAAAATGGCCTCAAAAAGCTGTGAGTCGCCTTCCACTCCATTTAGCCAGCATAATGAGAGGGAAAGGCAAACACCATCTCATTACAAATGGAATGGAGGGAGGACAAAACTCTCCCCGGTCTTGTTCCAGAATGAGAGACTTTTCTTCCACTGACCCCCAGATCCTGTTGTTGTTGTTAACTTGGGTACCCAGCATTGCCCAGTTTATTTGAAAAAGTCAATTTTAATTCTACAAAATGCGTAAGGTTGCAGGTGAACTGCAAGTGACATCATGCCAGGTTGATCCCAAGAAACTCCATCAGTTTATGTTGGGCAAGTTTGCTCTAGATTCCTCATCAGTTGGGTTCAGTGCGCTCTCTGGCTGCCGGATGAATTACAACTCACATTATGATGAGTCAGTCCACTCAAACCCCTCCAGTAGGTTGAGTTAGTCATGAGGGTTCTGTGTGCCAAGTTTGGTCCAGTTCCATCATTGGTAGAAGTCACCATTTCTCTGGTTGTGGGTGAACTACAACTCCCAGAAAGGAAGGTCAATTCCCCCCAAACCCCTCCAGTAATCAAGTTTCGGCATATTAGGTATGTGTGCCAAGTTTGGTCCAGATCCATCGATGTTGGGTTCACAGTGCTTTCCCCCAAATCAAGCTGAATTTCCCCCAGAGAACTCCAGTATGTCTTGCTGGTCATGGGGGCTCTGTGTGCCAAGTGTGGTCCAATTCCATCTTTGGTGGAGTTCAGAGTGCTCCTTGATTTCAGGTGAACTATAAACCCCAGTACCAACAACTCCAAAATATCCAGGCCAATTCCCCTCAAAATCCACCAGTATTGACATTTGGCCATATTGGGTACACACACCAAGTTTAGTCCAGATCCATCATTGTTTGGGTTCATAGTGCTCTCTAGATTTAGGTGAACCACAGCTCCTATAAATCCCTCCAAAGACCTCCAGTTTGTTTTGTTGGTCATGGCGGTTCTGTGTGCCAAGTTACTTCCAGGTCCATCGTTGGTGGAGTTCATTCAGAGTACTCTTAGATTGTAGGTGAACTATACATCCCAGTACCTACAACTCCTATGAATCATGGTGAATTCTCCCCAAACCTCTCTAGTATATTCAGTTGCTGATCAATTCCTCTGTTTGCTGTATGCCATAGAAAATAATAGGAAAGGGTTAAGGGAGAGGCTGTGGGCAGGGTCATGCAAATTCCACACCAATGGAGAGACTCAGAAACACCGGGATGTCTGTAGTGGAGGAATCACATTAAATCTAGGATGGAATTGTCCCTGTATGAAAGCCTTCACTTGGGTGGTGGGCAGTGTGGTATTTGTGGAGGACATTGGCAGGGCTCTTGGACATGTTCATGGCGCTCTCTATAACCTGCAGTGTCATTTGAGGGAGAGTCATTGGTGTCCCCTGAGTAGTGGGAGTTATAACTGTTTGTGGAGGCAGGAGTTTGTCTGTGTAAGTGGGCACCCCAGCCACACTCACATGCACACATACATATGTTGACTTTTATTATGTGTATAGATTATTATTATATTTATTTATACCCTGCTTTATCTCTCCTACAGGAGACCCAAAGGAGACTCAAGGTTTTTTTGGTGGGGGGGGGGGGGGGGGGGGGGGGAGGTGAGGGCTTCCAAAGACCAAAGGAGTGGACCCCAAACAAACAGGGCTCTTTTCAACGGAAAGCCATTCTCTTTCTCCATATTACCGGGTCCTCTTCTCCACATCCATTGGGACCATCAAATATTGTAGTATATGTCAAGGCACTCTGTAGGGTTTTTTTCATACTGCTCAACCAATCCAATGTCTGCATTTCCAGATCTTCTACATGGCCTCCTTCCTCTACACCATCAATTACACCTGGCACCTTTACACTGATCTGAAGGCGAAATACAACCAGAACCTTCACAGCCAGTCCCTGCAGGTAAGTCTGGCTTGGAGGAGATGGTGTATAGCTTTCTATTTACTCACCTTGAGGTATCTTACAAGAAAGGCCAAAAGTCACAAAATGGTAAACTTATTACAGTATTTTAAAATTGAAACTGAAAACATGAACTGTAAAAAAAACAAACAAAAAAAACAAAACCACAGCACCACAGCAAAATAGTATGTTTCTTCCATTCTAAGGAACCCTTTTTTTTTGCCTATATAAACCTCTCTAAAAATGGAGCATGTCTTAGAATTGCAGGTGTATCTTATGTACTTTTGTTGGTGGTTCTGGTACTGAAATAGGGGTGCATCTTGCAATCAATGGCATCTTAGAGTGAAAGAAATATTGTACTGGAAAATCCATGGTTGTCCCCCCCTGAGCAACCAGCCCTCAAAGGCCTGTTATTACAGAAAAAACTTGTTTATGAAAGGAGAGTTGGCAGTCTAATTGATTTGGAAAGCAAATTTTGGAATCGGGGGGCAGCCATTGAAAAGGCTGTGCCATCATTTGGTCCCCTGAAGTTGGTGGAACGAACAGTAGAAGGTCTCAAAACACAGGCAGATATATAAGGGAGAATATAGTCCTTGATCACACTGGGTACTTCCCGCAAAGTGCTTTTCTCGCCGAAAGTGCAAACAAAGTCCGCACCCAAAAGAAAATCAGTAAAGATAAATAGTATTGTTACGATTTATACAACATGGGCGTGTGGGTAAGGTTGCCACTTGTGCAAAGAGAGAGATATCTTGTGGCTTTGAACTTGGCAGCAGAGGAGGAGCTGAAATTTGCTCCCGCTTGCTTTCGTGTTGGGAGAGATTTTGTACCAGAAGGGCCGTTACTGTAACGGTCTCCCAAAGTACCGAAGGTATTGAAAGAAATAGAGGAAACGGAAGAAACGAATTCCACACACAAGCCTATTTGCCAGCCTTTTCCTTCCAATTAGTCTTTCAAAAAGAAGTTTAAGGATACTGAATCAGAAAAAAACCACATCAGAATGTGTCCAGTCCCATTTGTGTACCATGTCTGGTGATGGCTTGGGATGCTCCCCAAAGCAAAAACTTGTGTTTACAAGGTGGAGCGGCTTAGCCCAAGTGGAGAGGACCACATGGCCTCCTGCTTGACGTCATCCATCTTTGAACGAGACCCTTGAGGAGCCAGTGTCAGCCATTGGGAATGGAGGGACAAGGATGCAGTTCCAAGAAAATACCGAGAGAACTCACTAAATAAATACTCCACTCACCTTGGGATCAATCCTTTTACACCTGACTAGGTCCAGGACCGTACATTCTGTGACGCCACCCTTCAGGGAGGACAAGAGGCCCTTTGTGCAGGGCTTCTGGGTGGAGACATATGGGCAATTGGTGCACGCTTTGCCACTCCTCACAAGGGAGGAAACGTCATTGTTCCCCTCAGGAGGTCTTTGCAATGTCTCCCTTTCTGTTTCTTATCTTTCCGCCTTGGCTGATCAAACAGAGCACTCCAGTTAGGACTTGTTTTGTAGGCCTTCGAAGTCGAGAAACGTCAAGCAGGGTGTAAAACTAACAAACTCCATATGGCTGCCATTAAACTGGAGCAGTGCAACCCAGCATCACAAGATTGGTGCTGATAGTGGCTGACCAAGAGAGGGATTGAAGTCAAGAGCAGAAATAAAATGTTACCTGAATGGTGGCCACTTTGGAGCAGACCAAACAAAGGATCTCCCCACTCAACTCATAGCGGAGCTCCCTGATGTAGGCAGGGTTGCCAACTTGAACAGCTTCAAAAAGGCAATTGCTTCATGGAGCCATCTTGACTAGTATCCTTGCATGGTATCGACCATTATATCCTTCGGGACCATTTCTCTGGGATGGGGCTTGGGGCTACCATTTTACAGCGCCTCCGGTCCTTCCTCGAGGGCCGGTCCCAGATGGTGGCGCTGGGCAGCTCCTGTTTGACCCCCCTGGACTGTGGCTTCCCTCAGGGTTCAATTCTGTCCCCCATGCTGTTCAATATCTACATGAAACCGCGGGGAGAGATCATCTGGAGTTTTGGAGTTTGGTGTCAAATCTGTGCAGATGACACCCAACTCTATTACTCCATTCCACCTAAAGCCATGGATGCCATCCTAGTCCTGAACTGGTGCCTGTCATCAGAAATGGACTGGATAAGTACCAACAAGTTGAAGCTAAATCCAGACAAGACAGAGGTACTCCTGGTCAGTCGTAAGGCAGTCCAAGGTGCGAAATTTCAGCCTGTGCTGGATGGGGTCACACTTCCTCTGAAGACACAGGTTCACAGTTTAGGGGTGATCCAGGATTAATCGCTGACCCTGGAACCCCAGGTGTCAGTGGTGGCCAGGAGTGCCTTTGCACAATTAAAACTCGTGCACCATCTGCGTCTGTACCTGGGGACATGAGATCTGGCCATGGTTGTATATGCTTTAGTCGCATCATGTCTGGACTACTGCAACACTCTCTACATGGGCTGCCTTTGAAGATAGTTTGGGAGCTCCAACTGGTTCAGAGATCCACAGCCAGGTTACCATCTGGAGCTCTGTACAGGGAGTGGATAACTCCCATGTTACAGCAGTTCCACTGGCTGCTAGTCTGCTTCTGGGCTAGATACAAAGTGCTGGTCATTACTTATAAAGCCTTGAATGGTTCGGGCCAAAACAATTTGACAACCTGCATTCCCATCTACAGTCCTGTTCAGAGCTACGATCATCAGAGCGGGGGGGGGGGGGTCCTCTTGGTTCCACCCCCATCTCAAGCGTGACTGGTGGGAACGAGAGAGGGGGCCTTCTTCGTGGTCGCCCCTTCCCTCTAGAACTCCCCCTCAAAGGACAGCTACCTCACTCCTCTCATTTAGGAAAACTTTATAAACCCATTTCTTTTCACTAGCGTATGGCGAGAAGGAAGAATAATATCATAGATTCCATCCTGGTGGACGTAGTTGACAATTGCATATGTAACTTATTGAAGAGCTATATTTTTATAGTTTATATTTTATACAGATTTCATTGCCTAATTATACCATCTGAGATGCCTGACTGATTGATATATATCTTTTTGCTAAAGTTATCCAATTTGTGTTTTAATAATATGTGTATGATTTATATTTATTGTTTATGACATTGTATGCTTGCCACTTGTGTTTTTTTGTCTTTTGTAAGCCACCCTGAGTCCCTCTAGGGAGAGAGGGCAGGTTAGAAATAAAATTTTATTATTATTATTAGTAGTAGCCAATTCATGGCTACTAGTCAAGATGGCTACCTAACCTGTCCAGGATCAGAGGTCAATGCTGCAACCCAACTGTAGCATCCTGAGACATTTCTATGTTCTCAAAAAACCCAAGTTCCTAGCCCCGAAGGATAGAAGAACTGTCGAAAATGGCTCATAGAATTTCCAGTAGTCAAGGAACCTCTTCCCTTGCAACCAGCTACACTCAGAAAAAGCTGTGCCAAATAAACAAACATTTCCAGATTCTTTATTTTCTATAATGCATGCCATTTGCAAGAGCAATGTTTTCTTGGCTCCAGATTTTGCCCTTTGAGAGAGGGGCCCTGATTTTATAAATCGACAGCATTGCCAGGTTTCTGGGTTTGGCTCTTCTTCTCCAGTCCACAGGGAAAGGGAGGAGGAATATCTGGGTGAGAGTGCTGCGTTCAAAATTTTTTGTCCTCATTTGTTGGTGTTTTGTATTTGAATGGCATACTCTGGGTCTGTCATTGATGCTTAAAGTAACATGCTTTCTGACTGAATGATAATGTCCAGAGGAGAGTGACACATACAGCAAAATTTCTGGAAAGCAAACTCTATGGGGAATGATTTGGGCAGCTGGTTATATTTAGCTTGGAGAAGAGAAGATTAGGAAGTGACTTGTGGTCCTTTCAAATTCTGTGATTTGACGTTCCCCTCGTCCTATATTATCCAAACGAGTTTCTACAAAGCCCAGCAAAGCCATGCCTTTCTGCTGCTACAAAACATCTGTTGTAAGTTAGGAGCAGAAATGTGTCAAGCCAGAACCACAATTCACAAAAGAAGAGCCACATTCATCGAACATTAATTTATGCACTTGTTCTTTGGATCCTGGCATGGCATTTGAATTTGATCGTAATGAAAAACGCCTGGAGCACGGCAGCATCTTGGAACACTGTTGGCCCAAATGCTTGTTTTGGAAAAAAGATGGTCTCACCAATCTTTTTGCCATCAAGATACATTGGGCAACATTTTCCTGAGTATTCTGCCTCCCTATGCTGACTCAGATGGTTTGGGTTTAGATTTAGAGTTTTTTTTGCAGATTGAAACAGGAGAGAAAGTAGCCATTCTGAATTGAAAAGACAAAATGACATTCCTAACCTCGGAGACACAGTGGAGTTAATACTTGCAATATGTGTCGTCGTCCCCCCCCCCCCCCCCCCTCTTTGTCCTGTAGATTTTCAGCTATACGAATCGCATGGGCCGGGTAGCCATCATTTTGTCTGGGTGAGTTGAAACCTCTATATGCACGAACACAGTACATTTCGGAGGAGGAATCTTGCTTTGAAAATTATTATTATTGTTATTATTCTTTCTCCCAAGACAGGGACCCAAAGCAGCATATGATCTTAAAAGCTATCCAATTTCAAAATCTACAAAAATTAATATCAAAATAGAACTAAATCTTAATGTAATCATGTAATTTTGTTACTCTACGTAACAAAATTTTAAAAAAAAATCTGATCCTAGTTTGAAAGTGTTATTTCCCGTTTAATAATGTGGTCCACACTTTGAAAGGAGTTGTTCTACTCCAGAAACTTTGTTTTTGTGCCACAAACTATGTTGAATGATTTGAGACTTGAGGATGAGAGATTTATTTACTATATTTCTACCCCACTCTTCTCACCTCGGAGGGGACTCAGAGCGGCTTACAAATTATGGCAAAATTCAGTGCCACATTATAGATACAAACAACAAATACAAATTACACATACAAATAACAAATATAACATCTCAAATTATAAAACAGTTAAATACATATAAATAGAATAAGACTGATTAAAAAACATAGTGCCCAGTCCCATAGTCATTATTCAAGCTGCTACATTCAAGTCAGATTCCATATTAAACTACTTCCCGAATGCCTGTGTTCAAACCCAGGTCTTTAACTTTTTCCTGAAGACCGGGAGGGAGGGAGCCAGTCTGATCTCACAGGGGAGGGAGTTCCACAACCTAGGGGCCACCATTGAGAAGACCCTGTTTCTCGTCCCAACCAATCACACTTGCGAAGCATGTGGGATCGAGAGCAGGGCTTCCCCAGAAGATCTTAGAGGGAGATACATTTGGACAAGTAAGCTGGGCCAGAACCGTTTCGGACTTTATAGTCCAAAGCCAGCACTTTGAATTGTGCTTGGTAGCAGACTGGCAGCCAATGGAGCTGCCGTCCTCCAGTGAGAAACCTGGCTGCCGCCTGTTGGACTACTTGAAGCTTCCAAACAGGCAACCCCACGTAGAGCGTGATGCAGTAGTCAATTTGAGATGTAATGAGCGTGGACCACCGTGGCCAAATCTGGCTTCTCAAGGTACGTGCACAATTGGCGCACACATTTTAACTGTGCAAAAACTCCCCTGGCCACCACTAAAACCTGCAGTTCCAGGCTCAGCGATGAGTCCAGGAGAACTCTCAAGCTGCAAACCAGTGTCTTCAGGGGGAGTGTAGCCCTGTCCAGCACAGGCTGTAACCATATACCCTGTTCGGCCTTATGACTGACCAGGAGTGCCTCTGTCTTGTCTGGATTCAATTTAAATTTGTTCGCCCTCATCCAGACTGTCACAGCCGCCAAGCACTGGTTCAGGACCTGGACAGCCTCCTTAGCAGTAAAAGGAATGATAGAGTTGGACGTCATCTGTGTACAGATGGCATCAAACTCCAAAACTCCGATTGATCTCTCACAGCAGCTTCATGTAGATGTTAAACAACACGGGCGACAATACTGAGCCCTGCGGGACCCCGTAAGACAATGGTTGAGGGGCCGAGCAGGTGTCTCCCAGCAACACCTTTTGAGAACAGCCCTCCAGGAAGGACCGGAGCCATTGCAAAACAGTGCCTCCGAGCCCCATTCCCACAAGGGCGCTCCAGAAGGACACTGTGGTCTACAGTATCAAAGGCTGCTAAGAGGTCCAAGAGAACCAACAGGGACACACTTCCCCTGTCCAGTTCCCTGCGTAGATCATCCACTAAGGAGACCAAAGCTGTCTTAGTTTCACAGCCCAGTCTAAAGCCAGAATGGGATGGATCCAGATGATCTGTTTCTTCCAAGAATACCTTGGAAGTTGAACACCTGGAGATTCATTGAAAAACTATGTGCTGCACGATGTCCTTCCCACACAAGTTTTTGCAGTTTAATGAACTTTCCCCATGTTTTTATGATATAACCAATTGGGAAATGATGTTTATAACCCAAAAATGATGTTTCATAGTGTTATTAAAACAAATGCAATATGATTAAAGAAGGCTTTTTCGGGCTCCAGTCCTAGTTGTGCTGCCATGGTGCACAAGGGGGCAGCCGAGTCCCACTGGAAAGTCCTACTGGTTCCTCACCCAGACTTTTGGTTTTGCTCAAAAAAAAAAAAAAAAGATGCTCAACAGGGGTTTCTTGTCCTTCTTCTAGCATCATCCCTTTCCTGATCATGCTCCCTGTGCTGGGAATTGGCAACTATGATGAATGCTACCAGAATTTTACCATGAAACATGGGTGAGTTGATCCATCGGCCGCTTAGCAGATTTGGGGGAGAGGCGGGTCATGACCAGATCCAGTGGGTCCTCTCTGAAGCTCAGAGTCCTTTTCAAACTTTAAAAAGCATTAAAAAGGTTTATGTGAGTTTTTTGGGCTGTCTGGCCATGTTCCAGAAGTATTCTCTCCTTTTGCCCACATCTATGGCAGGCATTCTCAGAGGCTGAGAGGTCTCGAATTCCCCTCTTTTCTAAGTGTTGCTCTTTATTTACTGTCCTGATTTTGGAGGTTTTTTAATACTGGTAGCCAGATTTTGTTCATTTTCATGGTTTCCTCCTCTCTATTGAAATTGTCCACATTCTTGTGGGTTTCAGTGGCTTCTCTGTGTAGTCTGACATGGTGGTTGTTAGAGTGGCCCAGCATTTCTGTGTTCTCAAATAATATGTTGTGCCCAGGTTGGTTCATCAAGTGCCCTGCTATGGCTGAGTAAATAAAGAGCAACACTCAGAAAACAGGGGAATTCCAGACAGGAAACAATCAGGGCCAGCTAACAAAGGATCCCCCCAGGCAGGAAGCAGCCATGCTTTGAAGCTAATCAGGCGGGCCAATGACAACATTCCCACTTGCCTCCAACAATGATGTCTCCCTCCCTGGACATCATCCATCTATATATATATATATATATATGCTCTGTGCATAATGAGTACCTTAAAAACAAAAGAACCAATGAACGAAATCACACCAAATTTGGCAACAAAATGTCTCACAACACAAGGAGTGACCATCACTTAAAAAATTATGATTTTGTCATTTGGGAGTTGTAGTTGCTGGGATTTATAGTTCACCTACAATCAAAGAGCATTCTGAACTCCATCAGTGATGGAATTGAACCAAACTTGGGACACAGAACTCCCATGAACAACAGAAAATACTGGAAGGATTTGGTGGGCATTGACCTTGAGTTTGGGAGTTGTAGTTCACCTGCATCCAGAGAGCATTGTGGACTCGAACAATTATGGATCTGGACTAAACTTGGCACAAGCACTCAGTACGCCCAAATAAGAACACAGATGGAGTTTGGGGGAAATAGACCTTGACATTTGGGAGTTGTAGTCACTGGGATTCACAGTTCACCTACAATCAAAGAGCATTCTGAACCCCACAAATGACAGAATCAGGGCAAACTTCCCACACAGAACCCCCATGACCAACAGAAAATACTTAAGGCCATCCAATCCAACTCCCTTCATCAGGGCAAGAAAACGTAATCAAAGTCCTCCTGACAAAGAGTCATCCAGCCATAGATAGATAGATAGACAGACAGACAGACAGACAGACAGACAGATAGAGATATTATTCACACACACACAGATATAGTATCATAGATTTGAAAGGGACCCTTTAAGAAGGATAATGATATGTTGCATGTTCCAGGGTGGCAAACCAGACACTCTCCACATCGGCACTGACAAAGAAACAGCAAGAAATACTGTTTACCCACAAGCATAAAGAAATTACATATATTAGAAACCAACACTTTCTAATTACTTTATTTTCCAGATCAACAGACTGGGCCACAGCAACGCATGGCAGAGGGCAGCTAGTAGATATATAAACCTCACTTGCCTAGTTTCCAACATACCCCACAACCTCTGAGGATGCCTGCCATAGATGTGCGTGAAACATCAGGAGAGAATGCTTTTGGAACATGGTCAGACAGCCCGGAAAACTCACAGCAATCCAGTGATTCTGGCCATGAAAGCCTTTGACAACACATAAAAAAGGTTCTTTTATTTCATTCTCCTGAGACGGAGTATTCCACAGAGCAATACAGAGAAAGAAGGTAGACATACACAGACTCTATTTACTACATTGGTTACACAAACAAAGGAGAATTATATTTTACTCGGCATTCAGACAGATATAAACATTCACTCATCATCATGCATACATTACCATCTCTTCTTCCTTCTCCTGGAAAAGAGACCCCGAAGTAGGCCAAATTGTGTTACCTGGAAACCTGCTATTCTGCGAATATACCATCTTCCTCCATCCCTTGGAGAAAGAGATGGGTGGACCAGACTTTGGTCTGCCACAATTGTTGGACAGTAAAGTGTCTCTTAGATACCATATTTCTGCTAATGTTATTCCAAACAGTTGTAAATGAGTGACAGGTGTTTCCCGGTTAAAACATTCTGACTCCACCAGTTCCAGACAGGTATTAGCTTTTCTTCTTAAGTGATAATTGGTTTTAATTAAATAAGGAATCATTGTGTTGACTTCCTTAACTCAAAAGAGCCATTGTCTCTGGTAACGTAAACATGTTGTTTTCCACCAAGAGTTAATCATTTGTCTCTGGTCATGTCAGCAGTTCAGCAACTTTTAATTACAGTTCATCAGTTCAATACTTTTCCAAGCTTCAATCTTAGGTGGCAAATGGGAATCATAGAATCATAGAGTTGAAGGAGACCCAAGGGCCATCAAGTCCAACCCCACTCTGCCTTCATGCAGAAAAAGCACAATCAAAGCTCCTGACAGATGGCCATCCAGCCTCTGTTTAAAGCCTCCAAGGAAGGAGCTTCCACCAGACTCCGATGCAGAGAGTTTCACTGCTAAACAGTTCTTCTAAAAGCCAGGAAGTTCTTCCTAATGTTCAGGTGGAATATCCTTTCATGTCATTTGAACCCATGGCTCCATTGAGTCCTAGTCTCCAGGGCAGCAGAAAACAAGGCCTCCTCCCTCTTCCTTATGAAGTATCGCAGTCCAAAAACATGACTAGACATTCAAATTTGGTCCCAAGATCGAGAAGTTTGAAAGAGGTAACATTTCCTGCTTGGGTCTTTCCCTCTTTCCTGCCCCCTTCCAGGTGTCTCCTCATGCATACCGAGCTCGGCAGCCCCCAGCGGCCCCCCTGTTCTACTTTGTATTTCTACAGCATTGGTGTCTTCCTTGTTTCGTATGCAACCAGCTTCCTCGTGATCTTGGTAAGAGGCATAGGAACAGATCCTCCAAGTAACATTAGACTTTTATTTTAATGTTCATGGTTTTAATTGTTATGTTTGCTATTTGTATTTTATGAAGCGGTATTGAATTGTTGTCAATTGTAAGCCGCTCTGAGTCCCCCTAGGGGTTGAGAAGGGCGGGGTAAAATGTTCGAAATAAAATAAATAATAAAATACGTGGGGCCCCAAAACTGGTGGGAGCTCTGCAAGGCATCCTTTTCGTTTTCCGTAAGGAGTGACTGCATAGCATGTGGTATGCCTATCTAAGCTGGGTTTCTTGGAGGGAGAGAAGAGACAGAATTATTAGAGTGCTACCGTTCCACTTTAACTGCCATGGCAACTTCCTATGAAACCCAGGAGCTTGCAGTTCAGGGGAGGGGATATTTAGAATATGATGTTCTTTCTGGAGGGCTTTTGCTTGCTGAGTTCCTCTCGTCTCCCACAGGTCCTACTCATTCGAGCTAGAGCCTTGTACAAGAGGTTTGTGAGTGCGACAGGTTATGTTGGCGACCAGCAGTGGGCCATGATCAAGATGGTGGAACAAGGTGTGATCTTGTACCCGGTAGTGTTCTTCTGCTGTTGGGGCCCAGGTACGGAAGGCTAGGGGCAGACTGCAAGACTTGTTTCTCCTCTGTGCCTCCAAAAAGGGTTTTGTAAGGGTTCTGGGAGAGTAAGGTGATAGGAAAATATGTTGGAAATAGCAACCTTCTTCAAGCGTCCACTAGTTCTTTGTTATGTATATAATTCAGATTGCTCACTGTATTGTATGTGTGTGTATTGGTATGCAATTTTACCTTAACTCTTCGTTGTGGGATGGGCTGCAGACCATGTGATCAGGTCAGGGCTTGTTCAGGGCATTTTAGAAACAGTATGCTTAGACTTTCAGTCTAGACAGCAGCTCTATTAGACTCTCAGAACAGAGAGATGCTTTAGATTATGGGCTGTTGGTTATGAGAAACATGCCCTGTGTTACCTACACAGTGAAACTATTTCAAATCTACTTGTAACTGGATTGATATGCAAAGTACCTGTATGCTGAATATATGAAGTTTGTGAGTGTACCAACTACGTTACTTATTTTTGTCTCTTGAGAGCATGATTTCCAACCTGTGGGTCCCCAGGTGTATGGGCAACTAAAAGAACACTTCTGAAACCCTGCTGAATATGTGTGTGTTTTGTGCATTGGCATATCTTTGTCCCTAACAGTTCAAAGACATACCTAGGTACATCAGTTTAACAGCTGAGAAACCTAATTGCCTTGCATGAATTCCATTTTCCCAAAAGGTTATGCATCATTTTTCAAAAGGTTATGACTTCTAACAAGGTCATACCTTTCCAAAGATAATAAAATCTCCAAAAGGTTATGAAGGTTTCCATTTTCCAAAAAAAATGAGACTTAAATCCAATGTAAATCTTGGCCCAGTTATCTCTACTGTTGTTCCAGCAATCTTCCAGACCCTCCACTGCTCTTGCCACAGGGATGCTTCTCGGTGCTGTGCCGGTGTCCTGGCCTAACCAAGGAAGGATGGGCTAGTGCTGCCCTCCAGCCTAAGCCTGATGTCTTTTTCAGAGCCCAGAGCAGCACCTGGTTGGCACCAAGGCACACCCTTGCAGCTGATCAGTGAGGAAGCTGTCTCCGTGAGATTCCTCCTTTCACAATGCTCTTACCAGTACCTCCACTGGTTTAAGTCACCAACAGGAAGGGTCCCAGCCTGAGTTTCCATTAAAATTTATTCATTTGTTGTCTCAGAGGTTAAAAAATGTCCTTTGAGGAGATAGAAGTTTAATATGGGGGCAGTGCTTCCAATTTTGCTCTCTTCCCCCATTGCTCCACCCTAGAATTGAAATGAACAGACTGATGCTGTCCAGCCAGAGGGATGTCAGGCTGCATTACCATCCCGTTCCTTCTTTGCTCTTGCTCCTCATCTCCTCCTCTTCTCTTTTCCCACAGCCTTTATCCTTGGAGTCGTCAAAGTGACATCTGTGAATAACATCAGCCTGTACATGGTGCTTTGGGTTTTGGAGGTAAGTGTCCCTAACCCACAAATACTAGTCTTCAAAGGGACTGTGGTTAGGCTGAGGCTTTGATGTGCAATGCTGTTTGGAGTCCCCAAGACTGCTGATGGCTTCAGTGTTCTCCCTGAATGAGGCCATCCATTCTGGCTGGCATCCTGTCCATGACCTATGCAGGCATGAGTTGCACTGCACATGTGGACTGAAATATTTCTGCACTGCGCAATAGTTGCACGAGTCGTTAAAGTTGCAATGGTCACATACATAAATCTACTTTTCCCATGTTTGCTTCTTAGCATCATGGTTTGCCTAACTACAGCATGGGGCATTTTGGGGTCCCTAATATCAGCAATTTTAAGCATGGATTTTAAACATGTGTCTTGTGTTTCATCTCTGTTCTGTGTATTTGAATTTATATTTTATCTAAATACGCTTGAATATGTATATTGTATAGAAATGTGTATATTTGTAGAATTTGTACAATGTTTATGTGTTTTAATTCTGCTGTAACCCACCTCGTGCCATGAGGAGGGGTGGGTAAGAAATGATGATGATGATGATGATGATGATGATGATGATGTAGTGGAACCAGGGACCAGAGGGGTGAAGCTCCAGGACTTTTTGCTTTGCAGGATGATGACATCCCCTGCACCTCCCTTATTCTCCTTTTGAATTTAGGTGCAGGAGAAATGGATTTTTGCTATGCTCTGCTATAAATGTAAAATTTGATGTAAAATGTCGTGCGTCCCAGTGTAGAGGAAAGAGCAGGGCAAGACATCTTGAATGCTAAGTTGGGCTAGTCTTAGTTTCTGTTAAACCAGATGCATCAAACATGTGGCCCTCCAGTTGTTTGGGCCTCCAACTCCTAGTTTGCCCAGGGATTCTGGGAGCTGAAGTCCAAAACAATAGGAGGGCCACATGTTGGGCACCACTGTTCTCGAGCCCTCGCCCGTTGTCTCCGCAGGCCCTGACGGCATCTTCCCAGGGTCTCCTGAACTGCGCAGTTTACGGCTGGACCCAGCACATGTTCCGCTGCATGAAGCGCAAGGCCTGCCGCGATGTTGACACGCAGACGCCGCTCTTGCGCTCCCAGAAGAGGTTCTATGCCAGCACGCTCCCAGCCGAGCCCCAGGGGGGCGCCAAGGCGGCCTCCACCGTCTTATGAGCAGGAAGCCCAACAAGCCTCTCCAAGCTGACCGGTGTGAGTCTGTTCTCTCACTACTCATCCTGCCCGGAAGGAGGCCACAGCCATGCAGGTCCTGCACAATGGGCCTTGCTTTGCGCTGTGGGAGGGACGAGAGGACTTCTTTGATCCCTTCCAGCTTCATTGTTGCAGGAAGGACTCGTTTCATCCTGTATATTTGCACAATGCACCTTGAAAGGATAGGTGAAACCTGCACTACTCAAGCCCGAGGAAGGTATAAACTCTTCCTCCCTCCCTCTCTGTTTCACTGACACATCTTATTTATTAAATGGATAAGGAATCAGCGGAGGCAAGGAAAAATGAACACACTCTCTAGCCTAGCGTGTTTTCCAGGAACTGGGACAAACTGGTTGTGATGTTGTTGAAGGATTGTATGGAACGTCTCCAATATGCTGAAACAGGCCCAGGAGAGTATTCTTTTTGTTTTTTTCTTGCTTTACAGTAAAAGAAAAGAGAAATGCGCACAAGTCTTCAGTTTCTTGGAGCTTGATGAAGCGTCTTGGTTTCAGTGGGCCTAGGGATTGGACTGCAACTCGGCACATTCTTAACAATTGCCTGTGCTGGTGGGGCTGGTGGGAGCTGCAGTACTGCAACACCTTTCTCTGTTTGGCCACAGGGAAAAGATGTAGAAAGTCTTCTAATTTCTAGTTCAGCGTCATGTTTTAGTTGTTCATGGGTGATGAAAAAGTTACTTTTTAAGGCTATAGGCATGGCCAGTACCATTCTGCTGGGGGTGGGAGGGGGGTGAGTTCTGACAGTTGTGGTCCTCAAAAAGTAACTTTTACAAGTTTGTAAGTTAAATCATACAAGGTGCAAATCTGTGTTACTGGGATCCATGGAGGAGTATCCCACATTACTTGGGACTAAATATTGAACTGGAACAACAATTGATCTGTCAGGTTGACAAGAGCATGGAAGGTGACTTCCAAACAATGACATTAATTCAGCACACTCTTATCTCTTTTTTCTCTCCCTTGCCAATGTGACAAGTTTGAAGATTTATTCCAACAAATACAACATTACAAGGATTTTTCATCCCAAAATCAAAGACTATGGATATAACTGCATGGGTCTGGTTTCCCACTGCATTGGCATGAATGCTTTGGAAGGTGAATTGTCCAGGTCAGTCAAGACCTAGATTGGTCTTATTCAGGGAATGGCAAAGCCCATGTGGTCCACGTTTGCTGTCATATCCCTGTCTTTTGTGCTCTCTATCATACTGCTTTGAGAGATCTTAATAGTTCTAGATCTGAATCCCAACCATTGGGCAAATTTAGGTATCATTGCCCACAGTTTGGGCACAATGACTGTGATGGCGGCGATGGAGAGCAATGCCAGCGGGATGATGGTGCCAAAGGTGTACCTCACCAGGGACATGCTCCAGGACATTAAGGGGAATCCTCCATCAATGCTCCCCCCTGTGCCCCAATACTTGCAAAAGGGAGGGGCCCAGCCCACGTTGCAGTGGCAATTGTTGTTATTGTTGCAAACGCCTCGGCCACTGCATTTCTTCTCTGGGTTGCACTGCGACAGCAGAATGGTTGCTGGGACACAGGTGCGGTTCATACAGATCCTTTTGGGGCCGCACATCGTGCCGTCAGGCACCACACCGAGGTCATAGCGATCGACTTCACCCTGGTAATCAATGCTCCAGCACTGGGTGTTTGTGAGCGCCACCCGCACAATTTTCATATATTTGATGTCATTGGGGACAACTTGAATGTCGACGCAGTGTATCCGACCACACAGGACATCTTTAATCTTGCATTTCACATATTCATCTCGGATGCGGTTCCCGCCACAGTTGCCAATCGCATTCCCGGCAGTGTTCAGCGCGCGGAAACAGCTCTCCGGAGCCACTCGAGATTGATCGCCAAAGACTCTGGCACATAGGAAGTTGTGGGTCCAACACTTCTTCTCATAGCAAAAGGACGCCTGCTCGCTACACGGTGTCCCATCCTGCACATAAAGGTCAGTGCGGCACCACTGCGAGTCCCCAGTGCAGTACTCTGGAAGGTCACACTCACTGGTCTTGGCCCGACAGATTTGCCCACTGGGAAGATACCGGCAATTTTTACAGCAGGGTCCAGTGGAACATGTGGCTTTTCCCTTAAAGGTGCAGTCAGCATTGCAGCACTTGTCTTCACTACATTTCTCTGGACCCCCACAATCGCAATCTTCTCCAATATCCAGCACACTGTTGCCACAACGCTTGACAACCTCTACGTTGTGGGGGACATTCCTGAGGCACTCCAACTTCCTGCGGAGGGCAAGCTCTACGAAAGTGTTAATGCTGCAGTTACTGAACATGCTGACGGCGCTGTGATACGAACTCATGATGCAGCCTTGGTACAGACCACAGAAGCAGGTGTGGTCATCGTCGACGAGCCCCAAGTGATGGCCAAGTTCATGAGATACTGCCTTGGCAAAGAGGAGCATGTCTCTTTTTACATAGGCCTGGACCCCCGCCGCAAGCTTTGGGTTGCAGATCTCACTTTGAAAGGCCTTCCCAAAGCTGTCACTAAAGTTTTGGTGAAAGAACAAGTGGGCCGTGTCATGATTCGGGAACTTGGCGAGATTCGCTAATCTCCAGGCATTGAAATCATTCAGCACAGTGGCAATGTCTTTGCTAGCACTGATATAGTTGCCGTTGGTCCAAATCTCCAACCCCATGATGATGATGTGCGTATTGAGGAGCCGATAATGCGCATCCACTATGTTGAGAACATCCAAAACTAAGTGGAGCACTACAGTTTCATTGGCAGATTCAATGAGAAACATGGCATGGTCCACCACAATATAGATCTCAATGTACTTGGGATGTGTGGGGTTCTGGTGCTGATTTCCAGGAGATCTACTTGGTCTTCTTCTGGGTTCTGCCTGCCAATCTGCCTCTTGGTTTCTCATTCCAGATCCTGAGGAGTTGGCCTCCAAGTCTTCCATGAGATAGAGAAGATGCTGAAATGTGGAGGAATCCTTAATAGGCTTGATCCCATAATCTTTGTCGCCAATTTTCAGGTAGCCCTTCAGACCATTGCAAGTGCTGAGAGCGACAAGCGAATCCATGAAGCCTTCCACATGCCCTTCGTAGTAGCATGCCCCAGGGATGTAGGGCTGGCTCTCAATCTGCTTCCCCTGGGAATCGTATGTGAACACCGAAAAGTTTTGAACAGGAAAGTGCATCTTGGGCTTTAGTCGAATGATATACTTCTTCCTTGCTGCCTTGATGATATAAGCATGGTCATCCTCCTTGTCTTTTTCAGCAGTTGCGGTCAACCGCCTTGGGATGATTACCTCATATGAAGTGTGCGTTTCAGGAGGAAAAGAGCTGGAGATGGGAAAGATTAACTCCAGCAAGACAAGACAGGCTCCCAGTTGGGAAACCAGCCTGTTCCTGGTGCCTATGCCACCACTCTCCATGATTCACATCAGTCTTGGTCCCACTTGTTATCAGACAATGGTCCCTGGCTTGAATGACACCAAGAAGAGTGATGGATGGGGACCCTGAGTGGAAGAGCACAGGTCTCAAGTTGGGTCCAGAGCACTTCTTTAGGACTCATCAACACCCAAGAAAACAACTGACAATGATAATCTCCACTAATTCTGTCTTAAGTTTTTCAACTGGGAGGGAACTGAGACACGCTCCGTTCACCAGCATCAGAAAGGGGTCACTTCCCTGTCTAAATGTCGTCCGCTGTGAGCCCCACCAACGTCCTGGACCAATGGGTATGATCTTTGCATCACCAAGGGTTCTTGGAGACACTCAAGGGACTGTACCAAGTCCTTCATCATAGGGAAAGGGAGAGTTGTATAGGACACCTGATCCCAACGTCCCACATTATGACCAGTCTTGTTAAATGTACCAACGGGGATGAAGATGGGGCAAACGAAGGGGCAACGGACAGAGCTTGGCTCCAGATGCTGCCCCCCAAGATGCCTTCTGCGGTGGGAAATTCCAGCCAGGGAGCCGTTTCTTTGGCTTTTTTGAATGGCAACATTCCACAGGCCTTGGAAGGGAAGGGAGAGGAATGAACGGCCATTAGTGGGTCTTTGGTAGACTGCTTTCTGCTTTTAGCTGAAGCATAGTATGACCTGTAGCAACCAAAATCTGTTTGGGAGAGATGCAAGGTGTGATTCTTCCACATTGGAAGAATCTTACCTCCTAGACAAAACAACCCCTAGATCTGCAGTTTCAGTTATCCACCATTGACAAACAATGTCCTTTCTCGACGTCTTCTAAGTTAAAATGGCTTGGAGGGAGGGGGGCTGAAAATATGGCAAAAATGACCCCCATTTCTGAATGTTGAGAGCCAAACATTTTAAATGTGTGTTTGTTTGTTTGTGTGTGCGAGTATGGGTCCAGCCTATTAAGATCTCCTGAGGGCTGATGTGGCCCAGAGCCTGCAAAAGCCAGCACAGCCTAATGGTTTTGAGTGTTGGGCTGCAGCTTTGGAGACCAGGCTTCAAGTCCCCCCTTGGCTACAAATCACACTAGATAATCTTTGGAAAGTTAAACAGTCAGCTTCAGGGGAAGGCAATGGTGGCAAATAGCTTCAGGATTAGTCTTGACTGTGAGATGTAATGTGGTGGAGCAGCTTGAGAGGTGAACTGAAGCTCTGGGAGACCAGGGTTCTCACCCAGGGTCAGCCTCAGAGGAAGGCCATGGCAAACCTCCTCTTAAGAAGCCTTGCAAAAACAACCCACTTGTTATCTCTTCTTTTAGCCTGAATGTGCTGGTAGCGTAAAAACCTGCCCTTATGACCAGTTGGCGGTTAGCAGACATGTAGGACAGTCATTATGTTTCTTAAGGTTGTTCAAGGCTTCTTTAGAGTTGTCCTGGGCCTGTTTTGCCCATTTGGTGCTACCTGAATATTCTTTAACAAATACGAATGAGACCAAAGCTTTGCTAAATTTTAGTAAAATTTATTTACACCAATGCATCATATTTACATTTATATAATACTGATTCAAAGGTGGGGGGGGGGGGGAAGCAAAACAAAACCATGATACGGCAGAAGAGTACACTGGGAAAATAAGGAAACACACAATCAGGGTGGCAAGGCTGGATTATCATTATTAAACACAGAACAGCAGGATGTCAACAATGGATACGCGCTAGGCGCATTGCCCTTTCCACTCTCAAATTCATCTCCCTGGACATGTGCCAGCATTTCTTGCAAAAAAGCCCTAAGATAAACCAGTTTTTCATGCCACTTCTAAGTCAGCAGAGCACTCTTCCTCCAAAGGTGCGCTGCAGCAGAATTTGTAAGAGGGAAAATAAAACACAGAAAACATTGCCTTGGAACTCAAAATGCATTTTCAGACAGCCAGTAATTGGAAGAAGCTGATACCTATCAGGTATATTCAGAAAAGATTGCCTCCCAAGGGAGAAATCCTATTTTCCTTGTAGTATCTTCCCCTACAGCAAAACTGGTGCTCTTCAACCATGATGGCCTCTCTGTTGTCCCTAATGGGCAACCGGAGAAAGGTGGCCATATGAAGAGCCATATGAAGAGCTTCTCTAGAGGCCTGCTCTCTAATGTATCCCCTTAGTGGAATGGGTAGACCTTAGTCAGTTGGAATGGCACCATCCCATTTCCCTGCCCAGCCCTAAAAAGCACCTTCTGATCAAGAGAAGACTCAGAAAGGCATGCTGCTTCTGCCCTGCCCACAGTCAACAAAGCAGCAAAGCTCTGTTCACACATAACCATGGAACACAACGTTGCCTTGATGGGGTTGTTGGCATTTTCAAGAGGAAGGGGTGCCAGTGTTTGCTTGTTTTGTAAGATCAGGGAAACATATGCAAGCCACGCCAAGAAGGGTGGGCCGAAAGCCCTCGACTGTTTAATGGACTTGGAAATGCATGTAAACAAAGCCTAAGCTGAGAAAGATGAGGATTCAGTTGTAGTGTGCCAACCTATAACAGGCCAAGGAAAGAGCAGCTGCCTCCTAGAACCCTGAGAAAGCATGAACAGCAAACTGAAAGGCATGCGGAGAACAAGCCAGCCTGTCTCATCAGCACGTTTTAAAAAGTTGATCTGGAAGGTTAGCAATAGCCACCAAACTGGGAATTGAAAGAAAAGTTGTGGTGAGTGGGAAGGAAAAGTTTCTTCCTGGAAGCAGTCTTCAAATGGCTTCTGTAGTGACTTATGGAAGACTTCCCGGACCCGGATGTTTCACTCCAAATGCATGAGAAAGAAGTTAGCACTGAACTGTTCTTTTTGAGGGTATAGAACTCTTACCCTAGTCTTCTCCTGTGATTTTGTTCTGCCTTTGGGGCCTAATGTTTACATTCAGGAACACACTGACTTTGTTAACAGAGGTATCTATGCTACAAGAATGGAAGAAGTACCAGCAGCCTTGGACTTGTCCAGAGGCCCAAACTGCTGATATGCTGGCAATGCAATTCACTTTCCATGGACAAACCTAAGGCCATATTTTGGCTTGTACAGTTTGCATCGAAGCAGAGAGACTCTGCTTCCCACTCGACCTTTCCTGCAACTGGGAAGGAAAAAAAAATATCGCTTGTCCCAATCAACACCTTTATTTCTGAGGGCACCTCCAAAGAAGCTTCCTTGCATGTGTCTCGGCTAATGCAAACATACTGCAGGTGAGACACGGGGCCTGTTTTTATGCCTCAGTCCCCCTTGTTCCAACCTGTTGGGGTACTAAACTCAGCCATTTTACTGGCTCATTCATCTCAAACAGATCAGTGACAAAGGACTAAACCAGGGCTGCCAAACTCATTCTCACCAAGGGCCACGTCAGCCTTATGGTTGCCTTCAAAACATTGTAAGATTGTATAAATGCAACTATGTTGCTCTGGCATTGGAAGCCTTGCAGGCCGGATTCGATCCGTGAACTTGTGTTTGACACATGTGGACTAAACTAAAAAAAAGCCTCATCTCCAAGTAGTTTGGGATCTGGCTTGTACTACAACCTCCACCATCCCCAGGAAGACGGCAACTAGGAAGAACCAAACATGGATGACATGAGATGGTACAGCTCAAGAAAACATGGAAGTAAGTGAACTGTAAAAATAGAGGGTGGAGGAAGCCCACAAATCCAAAGTTCTTGCCAAAAGCAGTTAAAGGGCACCAAAACCGCCCAGAGGGCTGACTTGAAAAACAAAAGATAGAAGACGAGACTTAGGTACAAATTCTTTGCCAACAGAGATAGTAAGAGAAACAAGAAAAGTTGCACTTTCCAGACTATAAAGGATGGTTTCCAGTCCTCAAAGCGGGAACAAAGGCTTGCAATGGAAGGCCGGAAGACCCGAGGCAGAAAGGGCCGAGAGCGGACTACCTTGAGGCTGCCTTGGAAGACAAGGGGGAGGGACAACCATGCTGTTCCCATCCCTCTGGTTCTTACATCAAGTATGTAAATAGAAATAGAGAAACATTCGCTGTTGTGGGCCGGTGCCATTCCATACAGGCTGCTGGAGAGGGACAACCGTATCTGGTTATGGAAGAGAACACGATTGGTATTAATTTGCCCCATTGAACAGAATCAGGAATTCAATGGTACATAAAAATCATTTATATATCTCTCTATATATCTATATATATGCATTGATAGCTCTATATGTTCTGACATATATGCACACACACATATGAATATATATACCCCTATATATTCATACATATCCATGAATATATATATGTCCACATCTAGAGGAGCTGAGTTTTTTTTAAAATATTACAGTACCAGTGATTCTTGTTATCTACATCTTTACAGCATCTCGTCGAGCTGCGTGGAAAAAATTCATGAAATAAGGATTTATTAATTTACATTAAAAAATACTCCTTTTCTTTACTTTTCTTTTTACAGTTGTAAAGGAAGATTCTGAAAGGGTTAAAAAAATGGGGGTGGGGGTAGTATAGTTGCAGTTGAGAATAGCCAGCACTGGCTATTGAGAATCATGGGAGTTGGTCTGCTCTTCGATGACTTGCTTCACAATCTCGGCCAGTTTGAGCCTGTCGACTTTGTCCGCAAAGCCTCTGCCTACAAGGCAAGAGAGGTGCTGGCTTAGTTTCCGAACGAGTGGAAAAGGAGAGCAATAGCAACAAATCTTAGTATCATTGTTTGTAAATGATAAAAGGTGAAATTCCTTGTAATAGTTAGAAAGAAAGAAAAATAGCCTTAACTATTGGTCCCAGTAGAAACTCCATTGTAATTCATGCAATAACTTCACAGTGGTCTTCAAATTAGTGGATTTTTCAGTCTTAGTGGAGGCATTGTATATGCATTGTTATACGTTTCCTGCCACCTTGTGTCCAGCATGGTGAATTGTATGGTTTGATTTATCAATTAAAAAGAAAAGAAAAGGAGAGCTATGGTGTTTGGAGTTAGGAACTCAGGAGCCGCCCTAAAAGCAGGGAAACCATGCATTTAAAAAGGCTCTTTTGATTATGTCTTACTGCTTTCATATTGGTAACATTGGTATGATTGCACCCCACCCTGAGACTGAAGAGAGCAGGATATGAGAACATGAGGAAATGATGGACTGGACTGAAGCTAATTGGATCCAACTTTCTCTAAAGTAATAAAATATGTCCTCTTTCTCGCCTGTGTTCCATAGTTGTACTTACCATTCCAGCTAAAGGTCTGGAGTGTGTCTCGTAACAATTTACACTCCCGGTTATACTTCCAGGCTTCCTGCATCACTTCATTCAGCTTCTCGTCTTCATTCTCACCTATTTCAGAAAAGAGAAAGAAGTCACAAGAGCAATCCTCACAGGTTACATCAGGTATGGGCAAACCCAGGCCTGGGGGCCAGATGTAGCCCCTTGGGCTCTTTTCGCAGGCCATCCTTTCTCTCACCATCCTATCCTTCCTTCTCTTTTTCCTTCCTCCTTTCCTCCTGGGGGATGTTTAGCTGGGAGAAGAGAAGGTAGAGAGGGAACATGAGAACCATGTATTATCGAAGGCTTTCATGGCCGGAATCACTGGGCTGTTGTAAGTTTTCTGGGCTGTATGGCCATGTTCTAGAAGCATTCTCTCCTGACGTTTTGCCAGCATCCATGGTAGGCATCCTCAGAGGTTGTGAGGTCTGTTGGAAACTAGGAAAATGGGCTTTATATATCTGTGGCATGTTTTGGAACATGGCCAGACAGCCTGGAAAACGTATGACAATCCATGACAACCATGTTTCAAGATTTAAAAGGGTATCCCTCCCATTGAGGAGGAGGGGCAAAACTTCCTTTCTGCTGCTCTAGAGACCAGGACACAAGGGAGCAATGGGTTCAAATGGCAGGGAAAGAGATTTGACTAAAAAGATTAGGAAGAACTTCCTGAGAGTAAGAGCTGTTGAAGAATGGCATAGGCTGTCTCAGAGTGTACTGGAGTCTTCGTCTCTGGAGGCTTTTCCACAGAGGCTGTCTCTCGGGAGTGCTTTGATTGTGCCATCTTGCATGGCAGGGGGTTGGACTGGATGGCTCTTGGGGGCCACTTCCAGCTCTAGGATTCTATATCAGGAGTAGGTAATACTGGGTCTAATTGATACACTTTTTCTCACCTGTCCACCATCTCATCCTGACCAAGGCCAACCCTTTTGGGATCCAAACATTCCCCGTCTTTCCTTCACTTTTTGCCTCCAAAAAAGAAGAGGAAGAGGAGGAAAGGTCAGGGAGGGGGCTTGGGAAGAACCCTCTCCCTCCCGGCCTGCCCACCCTGCTCTGGCATAACATGCAGCTCACAAGTTCGCCCATGCCTGGGTTACATCCTTGAAGAAGGGTGGCCATCTGTCAAGAGTGCCTTGATTGTGCTTTTCCTGCCTGGCAGAAAGGGGTTGGATTGGATAGCCCTTGGGGTCTCTTCCAACTCTAGCATCCTTTAGTCCTATTTTCCTCCATTAACCTTCAAATGTCTATAAGGCTCGATGGCCATCTGTCGGGAGGGCTTGGATTGTCTTTTCCCGCCTGGCAGAAGGGGGTTGGACTGGATCCTCCTTGGGGGTCTCTTCCAACTCTAGGATTCTTTGTTAAGACATGGTTCTTCAATCTGTCCTTGCAAGCAATGGCTGCCGTTCCTTGCAATGATTACACTATGTAACACAATTCTGGTTCCTGGGTTATAAATGTCATGTCCTAATTGGTTCTATCATAAAAACATGGAAAAGACATTGTGCAGCACACTTTGCTCTAGTTTTTCAATGAATATCTCATGGAATCTCAACCAATAAAACATAGTTAGTGGCACAAAAACAAAGTTTCTGGAGTAGAACAACTATTTTCAAAGTAAGCACCGCAAAATTAAACAGGAAATACAAGACTGGGTCAAAAAAGTAATGCCTCCATTGCTGTAACTTTTCTTTCTTTCCCAGCTACTGGACTATCTATGCATGATATGATGGAGGTCACCTTACTCTGTTGATATGGTCCTTTCTTTTACCGATTGACTGATTAGAACCATGAATCTGAAGCTCAAAGAAAGGGTTGTCATTGAATTTCTGGCCAAAGAAGGTTGTGCACCTAAGGAAATCCATCATCGCTTGAAGGATATTTACAATTTGGCCCCTTCTGACTTTGACCTTTTTGGACCTTTGAAAGACAATCTACGTGGCTTCAAATTCAATGACCTGAATGATGTTCAAACAGCTTTAAAATCATATGTCATGAAGCCAAACCCTGCATTTTTCCAAAATGGTTTGAATGCCTGGGTTAAACGACAGCGCAAATGTGTCCAAATTGATTGTGACTATATTGAACGGTAGTTTTGCATAGAGGACAGTTCAGGCTATGATCTTGAGCAACTATGTTCATTCATAACATTTTTATGATGTAGGAGGCAAAACCTTTTGACCCACCCTCATATCTATCTAAATCTGCCTGCCTGCCTGCCTGCCTGCCTGCCTGCCTGCCTGCCTGCCTGCCTGCCTATCTATCTATCTATCTATCTATCTATCTATCTATCTATCTATCTATCTATCTATCTATCTATCTATCTATTGTCCAGAGTGGGGGAAAGAACCCTTTGTCTGTTTGAAGCAAATGTAAGTGTTGCAACTGGCAAGCTTGATCAGCATTGAGTCGCATTAAACTGCCCAGGGAGACAGGGCGGGGAGAATTCTATGCCAGGAGGGGAAAGAACAACCCAAGTCCACAGAGCACTCTGAATCTCTCAAATTGCATTCCATCCCAGCTCAAGTAGATAACTGTGGCTAAGACATTGAAACGCCTTTTTAATAAAGGGCTAGTGCTCCCTTTGCCCAGGTGCTAAGGCAGGCATAGGCAAACTCCGGCCCTCTGGGTGTTTTGGACTACAACTCCCACAATTCCTAACAACCTCAATTCCTTTTCCCCCTCAGCTGCTAAAGTGGCTGAGGGGGGAAAGGAAGGGGCCTGAGGCTGTTAGGAATTGTAGGAGTTGTAGTCCCAAACACCAGGAGGGCAGAAGTTTGCCCATGCCTGTACTAAGGTCAACTTGGCTACCCCCCCCCTTTCCCCCCAAAAAGCAACATGTCTGTGAATGGCGACCTTTACCAGCCTGCGGCAGGATGCACTGGGCGATGACGTCGCGGAGCTTCTCCAGCGCCACATTGGAGTCCTCGCTGCTGTTCTCTGGGTCGTGGATGTAGACGCTGTCTTTGGGCTTCGTCCTGGAAGGAAGCAGAGAGGAGGGAAGATGAGCCCCTGGTGCCCTTTTTCTTCAAAATACCCTCTTTACCTGAATCTAATGCTCATCTCTTTTGGCTAAAGACTTTGAGGATGTGAGTTAGATTCACATCATACAGTCATCTTAGTGCTGAGCCAAAGCCAAATGGGAAGCTGCTTCAGGAGCACATGGAGCTCCTCTTTGACCGACATCACCTCTAATTAAATGGTCATGGCTCAATGCTTTGCCATCCTGGGATGTGTAGTTTGGTGTGGCATCAGCATTCTTTAGCAGAGGCTCAAGGCCTTGTAGAACTACATCCCCTATGATTCCATAACATCGAAGCGAGGCAATTAAAATGAATTCATTCTAGGGCAGGCATGAGCAAACTTTCTAACTTGAGGGCTGCATGCTAGCACTCCCTGCTAGAAGGACTGGCTGCCCGGTGATGGAAGGAAGGAAGGGGAGGAGGAAGGAAGGACAAAAGGGAGGATGGGAAGGAAGAAGGAAAAAGAGAAGGAATGAAGAAAGGGAGGACAAGAAGGATGGAAGGAAGGGAAATCCCAGGACACAACCCAAAAGCCTCTCCATAGAATAATCCAGCCCAAAAGAAGCCCTGCACCGCACCTTTCCAACCCTCAGTGGGATAGCATGGCCAAATTGGTGACTTTGGGACCCCTTAGATCTGGATGTCTCCGGGCCCATTTCATCACCTGCAGTGACCACTTTGAGCTTGCAATGTACATTAGAATCTACTTGACTGTCTGCATGCTTTTACCCCAGGAGTTTCCGCTTGCGAAGGATGGGGTTGTTGACAGAATGGAGGGGCTTGAGGCTGACTTTGAGGTCCTGGATCCTCATGTTGGCCAGCTGCTCAGCATGCGCCTGCTGGATCCCCGCCACCATCGCCTAGTTTGGGGAGAGAAGACCTAACGTTACATTTTCAGGTTGAAAATTATTGCACGCCAGAACCCATAGGAAGGAGGAGAGGAAGGGAAAGGCAGCTTCCTCTGAAAAGCAAAATCTTGGCAGGAACACTTTGGTGGGCATCCCAGGTTTCTCCAGCCAGTGGCACCAGAGGATAGGTTGTCTGGGGACAATGGGAGTAATCCAAAGATAAGTAAAAAGGAGGAGCCCTTTGGGCTATGAAGGGATCTTGAATGGAATTTTATGGGTTGCAGATTTTTCTTGCTCAAGGGCTTGTTCTCACAAAATTCTTTTAAAAAGAATTAAATTGATATTATATTTTGTTTTGTAAGTAGATTTGTACATTTAATACATACACGTCATTTATCTATAACCACATTTCGCCAGCCTCTTCCATTGTCTCCCACTTCCTCCATTCTATATTATCCACTCACTTACCTAATATAGCTTAGTTGTATTCAGTCTTTGGACATTTTTACCTTTGGACATTTTTGCCACATGTGAGCATGCCATCCTTTGCTTAATCCACAGTGCCAACATGCTGATCTTTTACCGCTAATCATATTTGATAGTTATGCTGTGGGACAATACTGTTTCCATATAAATCTCCTTTCTATTTCTTTGTACTTCTGTATTTTGCTTTTCCTAGCCTCTCTTCTTAAGTCCTCTATTATTTGTCTTGTAAGTATGCCCTCTTTTGGTCATTTATCTCATAATGTTCTTATATTCCTCATCTTTGACCATCCCTTTGTATATTACTCCAACCAGCCCTTTCTCTGAAGTCTGTGCTTTTTTGATTATGTCTTCCATCATGCTCTCCTTACCTATACATTCTTCATATTTTCCTTGTTTCAATTTATTATATAATCCTAGTATCTTAACCCAATTTTTGTTTCCCATCTTATCTATTATTCTGTTTATAGGAATAAGATGGCCGTTTTCGCAAAATGCCCGGCTCAGGACCTTTCTTACCTTGGGCCACAACCCCCAACACCCTCTTGTTGGCACCCAATGATTCCCTCCTGAGCTGGCACTGCTGAGGGTTTGGCAATGTGGCCATGCTGCTTGTCCCAGTGCCAATCCCCCAACTGCTTGGCTTGGGTCAGGTGCAGCCCTGTCTGCTGCGGCACCAGAGGCCCCTCCTCACAAAATTGGGAAAGGTTCACAGAAGAAAAGGCACAGTGGCATTATTTTCTGCCTGTCAGCTATGATGGAAATACTGTTCTACACAGGCATCCCCTTCCTTTTATGATAAGACTGCCATATACCCTTGCAATTGGACCATGACACTCAAAGGCCCGATTCAGCCAGTGACAGGAAACTCCTCTCCTTCCCTGAGACCTAGAAAGCCACTCTGGGTCTGAGCAAGATCCAACAACTCAACCTGGTGAAAGGCAGGCCCCATCTTTCCTCAAAGCTTACACTAAGCAAAGAAAATGAAATGGCATAAACCTTGTCCATCATGAGCTGCGCCGAGGGCAAGACGTTATCCAGAGCCTCGGTGGAGTTCAGCCAGGGATGGTCCAGGACACCTTCAATGGTCAGTCGTTCCTCGGGCTTAACTTTCAGTAGCCTAAGAGGTGAGCAACAACAAGAAAGCCCATCATAAGCCCATCCGTTACAATGACTCTTTTTTGTTCAAATGCCGCTTCCAACTGATACAGCTTCTAGGACGCATTGAGGTCTATGCTGAATTTGGCTCCATTTCTTCCTGCTTCTCTTTGCTGGCGTGGAATGTGACCACACCACAAGGCTCCTATGGAGAGGCAGCATCCATTCCTTCTGCCCAATCGGGACGGCCCCAAGTTATTTTTCTGCCCAAAGCAAAACACTAAATAGTTTCTCCTAATTTTTAGAGAAATCTTGGAATGTGGCCTGGCCACTAATACCTGTAAATCCTGCTCCCAAAATGCTGAGGGTCTGCTAGCAAATGGGCACAGGCCTCTCCGACCCTCCAGGAAGTGGGCAACCCTTGGGGCCAAAGCCCGCATGGCGCTAGGATGGGCAGATCAGAGCAACACACCCATCAGAGCTCAGTGCAGTTCAGTTCTGCTTTCCCATATCATAAAAATGATGTATTGGTCCCCACCTCTTCCCCACAACAAGTAATGTCTAACCCTTCACACCTGATCCATGATCAAGGCATGCTTTTCTCATGGTCTGAAGCCCGGGAAAAGCCCCTTTCTGTTTAAAATGATGCTAAAGGGAAACCCTGAAGGCTGGGATCAGTAAAGGCACACAATATTCTCTGGAAAGATGGGACTCCATTGCTGCTGTCTTTAAAGGTGCACCCACAGATTGCTCTCAACCTTTGGACTTCAACTCCCAGAATCCATCAGCATTGGCCACAATGTCTGGCCTTTGTGGAAGTCAAAGTCCAAAGTGCCAAAAAGGCAGAGAAGCACTGATTTAAAGGCATCATCTAAACATATAGGGATCCAACATTAATATAAGACAACTTACTTGCGCACAATGTCTTTTGCCATTTCAGAGATCTGGCTCCACTCTTCTTCGGGAAACTCAAAGCTCCCCGTCATGATCTTCTTCCTCATGTCCTTGGGAATTGTCCGACTGTGGTGCTTGGAGTAGAAAGGTGGGTAACCACATAGCATCACGTAGATAATGACGCCCAAGGACCATAAGTCACAGCTCTGGAGGGAAGGACAAAGAGGACTATGTAGGATGTATGGAGCACAAGGTTGTCGGGGGGATGTGACAGAGCACTTATTATTATTATTATTATTCACGAATTCAGACTGACAGAGTTTTGGAGCACAATACTCCTGACCTCATGATCATTTTTATGGATCGTTGATGTTGCAATCCCAGATGACAGAAGGATTGAAGAGAAACAACTGGAAAAGCTGACACGATATGAGGATTTAAAGATCGAACTGCAAAGACTCTGGCACAAGCCAGTCAAGGTGGTCCCAGTGGTGATTGACACACTGGGTGCAGTGCCTAAAGACCTTGGCCTGCACTTAAAACACAATCAGCGCTGACAAAATTACCATCTGACAGCTACAGAAGGCCACCTTACTGGGATCTGAACGCATTATTCGCAGATACATCACACAGTCCTAGACACTTGGGATCCAATTCAACAGCCAGCAGAATAATCTTGTCTGCTGTGTACTCATCTTGTTGTGTTTCAGATAATAAGAATATTTATTTATAAACCACCCGATCTCCCCAAAGGGACTCAGGGCAGTTTCCAACAAATAGGGCAAACATTCAATGCCAAAAAAAATCCATACAAACAGTTTACATCAGGACAAGACACATTCGATATATAACACAACATAACTATAGCTTAATAATCAAAATAGCAAAAAATAAAAATAAAATAAATAAAACAAAACATAATGAAAATATGATTATATTTATTTGTTACCTGCCTCTCCTAATGGCCTGAAGCAGGATACAAGAGTCAAAACATATGACCATAAAATACATACAAAATAAAACGCATCAACAAAACCACATCATTTAAAAACACACCAAACACAGAATACAAAATCAACCTATAGCGGTAATAAAATGTAAATTCAAAATATATGATCCAGAGTTGATTGGGTAGACCTGTTGGAAGAGAAAGGTCTTCAGTTGGGTCTTAAATTGGAGTCAGTGGCCGCCAGAAGACCACAGTATCCTAAAGGGCAGATTGTATGGGAGAAGGCAATCCTGAATGTAAGGACCGAAATCATGTAGGGATTTAAAGGTCAAAACTAACACCTTATACTGTAGGGCCGACTGGCTAGATTCACACTGCCCCACACCTCAGGATCCGATCCCAGATTTCTCTGCTTTGAACTGGATAATATAAGGCCCCTTCTACACTGCGATATAATCCAGATTATCAAAGCAGACATTCTATTTCTGATATGCTTAATATATACAAGAAAGATGATGGATGCAAAAGAGATATAGATGGGCATGATGTATGCTGGGGTGGGCAAATGCTCAGGAGGCACAGTTAATACTTTGTTGTTGTTCATTCGTTCAGTCGTCTCCGATTCTTCGTGACCTCATGGACCAGCCCACGCCAGAGCTCCCTGTCGGCTGTCACCACCCCCAGCTCCTTCAAGGTCAGTCCAGTCACTTCAAGGATGCCATCCATCCATCTCGCCCTTGGTCGGCCCCTCTTCCTTTTACCTTCCACTTTCCCCAGCATAATTGTCTTCTCTAGGCTTTCCTTTCTTCTCATGATGTGGCCAAAGTATTTCATCTTTGCCTCTACTATCCTTCCCTCCAATGAGTATTCGGGCTTTATTTCCTGAAGTATGGACTAGTTGGAACTTCTCGCAGTCCAAGGCACTCTCAGAACTTTCCTCCAACACCACAGTTCAAAAGCATCTATCTTCCTTCGCTCAGCCTTCCCTAAGGTCCAGCTCTCACACCCGTAGGTTACTACAGGGAATACCATGGCTTTGACTATGCGGATCTTTATTGCCAGTGTGATGTCTCTACTCTTTACTATTTTATCGAGATTGGACATTGCTCTCCTCCCAAGAAGTAAGCGTCTTCTGAGTTCCTGGCCACAGTCTGCATCTGCAGTAATCTTTGCACCTAGAAATACAAAGTCTGTCACGGCCTCCACATTTTCTCCCTCTATTTTCCAGTTGTCATTCTTGTTGCCATAATCTTGGTTTTTTTATGTTTAGCTGCAACCCGGCTTTTGCGCTTTCTTCTTTCACCTTGATTAGAAGGCTCATCAGCTCCTCCTCACTTTTGGCCATCAAAGTGGTGTCATCTGCATATCTGAGGTTGTTAATGTTTCTTCCAGCAATTTTCACCCAGCTTTGCATTAATACTTTACTGGGCCTGAAATGAAACTTTTGCTCCAAAAACATTGCTTCTCTTAACAAAAAAAAAGAAAAAGAAAAAGGGGGGGGGCGCCTTCTGCCCTCTTGTGGCCACAATGCGAAATTCTGCCAGGTTCTATCTCATTCCATTTTAGTATTTTTTTTTTTATAAATCATTTTTATTGCGTTTTAGTGTAAATACAAGGAAAGTGGGGGAATAATTGTGGAGGAGATAGAAAAGTAGGAAACGATAGTGGAGATAGGGCATTGTGGGGAGGGGGGGGGAGAAGAAAAAAAAATAAGGGGGGGAGGGTAAGAATAGGAGTACCAAATAAAAACTAAAAATTTAGCATCAACAAAAAAAGAGAGGGGGTGGATTTCCATCTGTTCTTTGAAGATCTTCTAATTTATTTTGCAAAATCTAAAAACATGGTAGAGAAAAAGAAAAGATGAAAAGACAAAAAGAAAAAGTCTTTCATTTTAAATAATCCAGTATGCTTTCCTGTGGTACAGTTATTTGTATTCTATGTTGTTGAGGATCAAGAAATGACCTCTATTTTTTGTTGCTTGAAATAGTTTTTCACCAAGTCCCAGTTTGTGTGTTTTTTCAGTTTTCCTTCATTCGATGTTAGCCAGTATGTTAACTCATCCATGTTCATTATTTCTAGTATTTTACTTTGCCATTCTTCTATTTGTGGTATTTCTTTCTGCCTCCAACTCTTGGCATAGACAATCCTGGCTGCTGTAATTAGGTAGTTAAAGATGATGTCTTTATTTTTGTCTCCTATAATATCGTACATTCCCAGCAAGAAGAACTCTGGTTCTTTTCTCATTTTTATGTCAAGTATCTTTTGTATATTAAAATAAATTATATTCCAAAATTTTTTTGCTTTTGGGCATGACCACCACATGTGGTAGAAGGATCCTATGTGTTGATCGCATTTCCAACATCTATCGGATGCTTTTTTGTGGAACTTTGAGATCTTTTGTGGTGTGATGTACCACCTATGTATCATCTTAACTTGATTTTCTTTTAGATTGTAAGAATAGGTGTATTTCATTTTCTGATTCCAGATCTTCTCCCATTGATCTATTCGAATTTGATGGCCTATATTTTGCGCCCATTTAATCATTGATTCTTTTATTTGCTGTTTCTGTTGACCATTCTAGTAATTTTTTGTAAATTTTTGTGATTGTTTTGTTGTTTGTCCTCATGATAGTGTCCCATAATCCCTCTTTGGTTCCAAAATTTAATTCTTTATCAGTTTTATAGCAGTCTAAAATTTGTCTGTAGTTTAGCCATGATAGGGTACTGAAAATTTCTTTGATCTCTTTTTCTCCTTTTAATTCATATTTCCCTCTTTCTAACCTTAATAACACTTTGTAAGTGGGCCAACTTTCCCAGCCAAGTTCTCTCCGCTGGAATGCTTCTAGGGGGGACAGCCATAGTGGCGTATTGATGTAAAATCTTCTTTTGTATTTTTCCCAAATTTTAATTAGGCCAGCTCTGATGTAATGATTAGTGAATTTTTTTTCAATCTTAATTTTATCGTACCACAAATAGGCATGCCATCCCCGTCTTAAGTCAGCCCCTTCTAATGTCAGTACATTTCTTCTTTTTAAAGTAGTCCAATCTTTAATCCAGCCGAGTCCACATGCGTCATAGTATGTTCTTAGGTCTGGTAACCCAAGACCACCTCTTTTTTTCTCATCTATCAAAATAAGTCGCTTTATTCTCGGTTTCTTCCCTTGCCATATAAATTTTGAAATATCCTTATTCCATGTATTAAATATATTCATGTTTCTAATTATTGGCAGGGATTGAAAGAGGAATAGCATTTTTGGAAGTATGTTCATTTTGATTGTCGAAATTCGGCCTAATAAAGATAATTTAAGGTTTTTCCAATTGTCCAGTTCTTTTCTTATTTCTTTCCATTTTTGTTCGTAGTTATTTTTCATTAATTGAGAATTTTTGGCTGTCAATGTTATACCCAAGTACTTTATTTTCTCTACTACTTGGAACTCCGTTATGTTTGCGAGTTCTTCTTTTTTCTTTTTTGAAAGGTTTTTTGTCAATACCATTGTCTTTTTCTTATTTATTTTCAATCCTGCTACTCTCCCATATTGTTCAATTTTGTTCAGCCATTTTGAGATATTTTCTATTGGGTTGTTGATAATACAGATTATGTCATCTGCATATGCTCTTACTTTGTAATTTTCCTTATTAATTCTGATACCTCTTAGTTCCGGATCATTTCTTATATTATTTAATAAAGTCTCTATTGCCATTATGAATAAGAGGGGTGACAATGGGCATCCCTGTCTTGTACCCTTAGTTATTTTTATACTTCTTGACCCTTGCAAATTTATCAACATTTTAGCCTCTTGCGTATCATATATTGCGTCTATGGCATTTGTAAATTGGTATCCGAAGTCCATTTCTTTCATTAACAATTTTAGATAATCCCAATTCAAATTGTCAAATGCTTTTTCAGCATCTAAACTGAGTAAAGCTAATTCTTCCTGATTGTGTTTTTCGCAGTATTCAATTGTATTTAATCTAATTCTCACATTGTCTTTGATCTGCCTGTTTGGGAGGAAGCCTGATTGTTCTTCTTTCACCCATTCATTTAGAAAGGTCTTTAGCCTTTCTGCAAGAATACTTGCAAAGATTTTGTAATCTGTGTTCAGGAGTGAAATAGGCCTATAATTCTTAACGTCTCGTGGGTCTTGGTTTTCTTTGTGTATCATTGTAATATGGGCTGCTTTCCATGATTCTGGTATTTTATTTTGCTCATGTAAAATCCCATTCATTAGTTTTCATAAGTGTGGGGTCAATTCGTCTT